ACAAGATATACCTCTAGCGGAGATACAGCAAAAGGCAGTCTTCTGTTGCTGAAGAGTATAGCGCCGTTGATCAAGTTTCAAAAATCCCCAGCCACCTTTATTCCCCCGAGATATCACTGTTACGTGTTAAATACTAAAGTGAAGTGAAAAAAAAAGGGGAGATACGATGTGACAAGTAGGAGACTTTTACCGCGAATAGAAATACAGATATCCTCAATAGTCTCATTGAAAAACACATATTTTACCCGTCTCGGATTCTCCTTCCCACCTTAACTCTATATTACACCGACTCAGTAGTCTAGTGGTCATGTTCGGCAACCGCGACATCATCTGAAGCAACAGTGACGCTAAGCGTTGGTCGAGATGTCGTTGGGGAGCTCCTGCCCACACACACACACACACACACACACACACACGCACGCACACCACAACTCTAACTACATATCCCATCAAATCACTGACCACAGCCCCATCTCTTACCAGCTTACACAACATGGCTCAAGTTGGTTCTAATCCGCTACGGCACTCCGATCTCTACAACAGAGTGCAGGACTGGATAACTAAATCAGATGCCGCGCACAATAGCCACGAACCACGACATACAAGCTCTCTACGCCACCGTAGGCCCCCATCATCGTTTCCAGTATCTGAAGTCTTCAGTGCATCTCTGACAATTTGCAGCTCCTTCCTATTACCTACAACCGGTGTCCTATGCTTTCGACAAAGATCGATACGAAGAAATAAAGAAAATGAACGCGGAACCCGAGAACATGCCAGCCAGTTTCGCTGAACGACAGCCAGGTTGGCTTGGCTGGGAGAATTATTATGCTGAAAGAGGAGGTGTCACTGTGTGTTATCGCTCTGTGCGACAACTACAGCAGGCTCGTGTGGGCCAGATGGCTTCACTCGAGCCAACAGGATCCCAACAGCCCATTGAATCGTCAACAGCGATTGATCCGGCAACGTCTTCACACTCCGAAGAAAGGGGACGTCACGGATATGAGCGGCAGCCTCGACACAGAACTAAGAATGGCCGATACGACTACAAGGTTCAGGATAAGAAGATCAGCGAACGCCCCCGTTCGAAGAAGAGGACATTCAACGACACCTTTCATGCTCCCAACGTGCCCTGTGATCGTTTGACTGTAAGTGACATGCTACCGGGCCCTGTATGAGATCGCTAACACCATCACAGTTGAGCCAAAGGCGTACAAGCGGAATTTTCAAAAGAGGAAAGGCATCATCTCCTATCAGAACCCGCAGCCGCGATCCCTCGCTAGGGCTCTTTGAGGTAGATACGATCGTGAACACAGATACCATGAGAGCCAGCGCTGGCTCTGGTTTCTCTGAAAGCGACTTCCTTACAAAAGGAAGAACCAATAACGCTACCCAGATTGGCTCGTTCTATGGACATCTCGAAGATGGCTGTCATTCAATCTCATCAGGGACCATCTCGGACACTGCCTCTACAGTCGCCTTCTATTGCTCACGAGAATTGGCAGAAGCAGACCACATTGTCACCGAGTCCATGGACATGAATGCCACTTCAGAACCTGCTACAGATACTTACGTGCCTGCTTGTGGTAACTCGTCAAGTAGAAACTCTGAGGTGCATCTCGAAGAGAATCCATACCCCCACTTGAATATTCAATATATCATTGATGACACAAGCATAGGTGAGGGCCAACACTGCTCCACTAGGCTTCAAGATGGTGTCTCACATAAGTGCAAGCATCCATCTGACGTCATGAGGTCAAATGAGGTCGCAGAAAAGCCTTCTGATGAAGACAAAGCGGGTAGCCAAAATAGTAAGGAACGAGGAACAGACGAGGTTATTGCTACAGCTCGTGTGCACGATAATACAATCAACCAGTCTGCCTTGCCCAATGCCAGCAAGTGTCGGCAGCCAACCTTGGAGCCTCGCAGCAGAACCGTAGCTGATACTGAAGAATTTGACTATGAAGGAGTAATGGGTGCCAAGCTCCGAGGAACAATCACACCAAGCTACAATCAACTCCATTGGTCCCCATATCATGGCGGCAGTAGAAAGATGTCCTTGGTGTCCGATGTCGGCATTTGTGGCGAGAACTCGCAGGGTCATCAAAGTCAAATTAGACAGACCATCGAGGAGCCAGATTATGAGAGCGTGGACTTCACAGCTGTTCCTGAAGCCAATGACTGCTGCTCAGAGGTGGCCAGTTTGATTGACCTGGAGGAGTGGGAGACAGCATCTATCATTGTTGATATGGATACAGAGCTTGACACCCAGGTCCTGAGTATGCCGACCTTGAGCGCAGCCAATTGCAATAACACACAAGAAATTCGGAAACGACTGGAGGCCACACAGCTTTGCGCAAGTATTCAGGGAGAAAAGCCGCACCGTTTGTGGGAGGCAAGGCTTGAGAAACCTTCCACTGCTTTTTGTTCTACCGACAGCATGCGGGACACCCCTTCAGCTGTCAAAGAAAGCCAGATGAGGGGCGCAAGTCAGCTGTCAGTTCATGATGAATCAATAGAATCGGAAGCCAGGACCACTTTCCGTCCGGGACCCTGGCTGGAGTCGCTGTCACGACGAAGGGGTGGAGCCATTGGGATAGGAAATGGCCGCTTGGACCCCACTGATGGGCTTGGGACATTTTGGCAGCAAAGAATGGGTTACTGATAGATGGCTGTTGGGGGCAGTTATTGCTCACTTGCTTTATTGGGCGATTTTGCTTTGTTATTGCTGACTACTCGACACGATGATGTTTTTCATGTATACTAGATGTTGCAGATCCTCCAGGATACACAATATACCCCTTTGCTGTTGCTCATTCAGCATGCCGAGACTTGGCCGGCCCCGGTAGCACAGATGGGTGCCAGATCGATTGACCATGCAATAATTGAGAGACGATAATTAATCCGGCTGGCCTCGTAGGCGGGCGCAGCCACCCTTACGACGCATGAATGAATTGCGATCGACAACGTAGCGGCCGACATTTGCTTTTTCGGCCGCAGTAGCGTGGGATAGTAGTCGTACACAATCAAGAAACTCAATAATGGGGCTTCCCTTGTGACAGTTGAGTAGTTAGTAGTCCCGACAGTATGGTTGCTTTGTTTGAACCCCTGACTTGTATCACCTCGTGTCTATCATCGTCAGTTTAGGGATCCCCGACACACTGGTTCTGTTATACCTGACATGCAGGGATCGAGAAGTTAGCGTAGATTAGACCAGTCAGTCAGCTAGCAAGCCTTTAAAATAGGCAACGAAAACAGCGTAGGCAGAAGAGAGCAGGCATTACTACGGAGTACTACTGGTGACTGGGATGAGGATCCTGCCGTGTGTTGTCTTGCCCTACTGTACTTAATACACCCTACTACTACTAATACGATTTAGGCCTACTAAGCAGGGATATAATATATGCAATGTAACGTCGTTAGATGGAGAAATTGGATTGATCTATCCATCCATCACGCTACGGAACCAGTCCCCCGGGTCCGCCCTTTTCCTTTTTTTCTTTCCCATGTTTCCCATGAAAGACGGTATAGATAGTAAGTACCTACTTACTAACTATAGGAGTAAGAGTTATATATGTATGAGGTTCTGGATTCGGTATGGATTGGCTTTAACTATGGCTGTTACTTACTAGTGGGTTCTAGTTTTGCTGTCATTGATACCTGACGGGGTTTGATGAGGGTGGTTAGTTAGTTAGTCTCGGGGACTGGGCATCAAGGCGTTGATTGATTGATTGATTGATTGAGTGATTGGGTTTCGGGGTGATCATGATCATGATGATGCTGGTGATCTGCTCTTGGGTAGGTGTGTGCTTGTTAGCCTTTCAACTTGGTCAAGTGTTCTGCTTACCATGTACTCTGCTTCTACTCGTTGAAACGAAATTAGAAGTAGTAGATCACTGTAGATGATGATGATAACACGAGAGAAAGGCAATCGACTCGAACTTCGATCGAACTAATTCCCCATCAATGACACAGACCAGACCAGGCAAGTCGCCACAGTGTGCACAGCCCACGAGAGAGAGAGGGAGATCAGACCACGCCCAGCGTACGAAAGGTTTAGTATCTAGTACATGCATTAGCCCAACCACAAGTAGAAACACCGGCGCTGACGATCCCGGACCCGACGATCTGGCACTGAGCATGGGACAAAGATGCAATGTAACAACGTTCCTCTTTCCCCGTCATCCATCATCCCCTGATTGACTGAGCTAGCTGCGGGAAACCGTTAGTTTTTTTTTGGTTTGTGTGTGAAGCCCGAGGGAATGGATTACCTTTCAAGACATACATGCATGTGGCAGATAGTTAATTAGATGGTGCGGTTGCTGATAAGGGTGTAAGTACTAATGATGTGTGGTTGCACATACCATACATATCCCCTTTTCCCATCATTCCTCTATCTATCATGTTCCTCTGCGCTAGTGCCCATCACCGTTAGTTTTCTATTTCCGGCTGGAGGTGGTACTGCTGGTGGTGGTGATGAAGCTGTGGTTTCTTTTCTTTTCTTTTTTTCTTATGTTTTGTTGCAGATCAGGGTTTGGATTGCGTGGCGTGGATGGGCAGAGCACACAGACAGGCGAGATGGGCTGTGTTTTTTGAGGGGTATGTGATACTTCTACAATTAGTTACTGTGAGGGGTAATCTTTCTCAGTTGCATTAGCGCAGAAGAAGTTTGAGCGTTGCCTTTGCCTTACCTTTACCTTGCAGTAGGCTGGTCCGGGCTGTTGGGTCCTTTTTTTGTGTGTGTGTCTGGTTTGGTCTGTGGGGGTCTAGATGAGGGAAGAGGGGAGGTGACGAATGTGCGTGAGTGAGTGAATGGTGGGAGGTTATGCGCTAGAAGGGGTGTACAACTACTAGTATATAAGATGCGTTTGCTAACCGCTTGTATGGACATTGAATGTTTTGTAACTGTGTTAGTTTTCTCTATATATCTACTGCTGCATTTCATTTCACAGACTCGTCTACACATTCTATCATAAAGCCTTATCGAGCAAAGAATCATCATCATGTCTTCCAACCGATTGACTGAGCACAACCTCTTCATCCACGATCAAACCATCATCAATCATGTGCGTCTATTACCCATCACCACCAATATATAACGTCTCTAACAAGGATCCAGGACTCCAAACAAACCCAAGACAATACCCAAAAGCAGAACCAGATACCATCCTGGCTTACAACACTCATATCCTCTGAACGAATGCACAAGCTCAACGCTCAATTGGCTCTCAACATCTCCAACAGTAACACTACCAATCCCACAAAAAACACAGACATCGACATCGACGCAGACATCCAACGCATCACCAACGTCCTCTCATCACTACCACCCAACGACCCTCTCTTCTCCCGCTTCAAGCTGCTGGAAGATATCCTCAGTACACAAACACACAACCGCCAGGAGAACGATGACTCAAACCCCATCCCCCTAGAACGCTTCCTCACACCCGGACACAGTGATCCGTACTACATTGTGGAGAGGGCGCTAGAGGAGCTAGGCGTCCCGTTTGGGAGTCTGGAGAGTGGTGAGGTCAGAAGAAACGTGGCGAGGGAGAATGTTGATGCTGCGAGGGAGGCTGCGATGGGGATGGGGGCGAATAGTGTGTGTGAGGGGAGGGTGGGTAGGACTATCTAGACGGTTGGTTGGTTGGTTGGTCATGACTGGGTCAGACGAACTGGTTTCGTTTCATTTCGTTTGTTAACTGGTTAGGGGATATGGCTGCGCGGGCGAATTAGGGTTTGTTACTCTGGGTAGATGGGGTTCTTTGCATGCGTACATGTACTCTGGGAGTATATAAATGATTGAATGAGACTTGCTTTGCTTTGCTGCATGATTTATTTGAATGGTAGTAGCACTACTAGATGTCAATGTATATGTGATAGTATTTGGAATTGGGTATATTATACTAAGGAAAGTCAGATCATGCATGTAGTATGCATGTATGCTATGCCATCACCACCACCACATCCACCACCATTCATCAATCAGTCAATGAGTTGTCTCTGAAGAAAGTATAGAACAGAGCAGAACATATATGTAAATAACACCAAAACAAACAAGAAATTCAACAAATCTACCCCACCCCCTTCATAAAACACGAACCCATACTCCTCTTCCCAAAATGAGAGGAAAGAAAGAAAGAAAGAAAGAAAGAAAGATGCTTATATCGGGGCCATTGCCTCCACAGCTCCCGTCCCCTTGAACACACCAGGTTTGGTAACCACGACTTCAACCGGGTACTTCCATTCCATGAATCTGGTCCAGCCTGTGCAATCATCCATTAACATATGGTCTTCACATTATCCCTCCCACACCAAAACCAGAGAAAGTAGGGGTATACGCACTCCAATAAGCACACTTCCTACCCAAGTACTTCCCCACAAAGGGCACCAGCACCATCGTCAACAACAACTCTAATTGCTCGATGCTTTCGCGCCATTCTTCTTCCGCATCCGAGTAGTCCGAGTCGAGGGAGTCGAGGTCCGATGCGGAGGTGGATTCGGAAGGGAGGGAAGCGACATCGTCATCTGAGGCGGAGGAGTAGTGCTTGTCTTGGGAGGAGACCATGAAGGCGGAGGTGCTGAGGGAAGCGGAGGGGGAGGGGGAGGCCATCTTTCTTGGTTTTGGTTGGATTCGACGGTATACTTGGAGATTGTGGTGTATGCTAAAAAAGGAGTAGAGAGTAATCAAGCAGGGCCTGCCACCGCCTGACGAATGTTATGGCATAAATAATATAATCAATCAACGAGGATGAAGCTATACACAGACAGACACTAGCTAGTTCGGTGAACCTAGTTATGGTCTGATGTAATCCAGGGGAGAGACACCGACAGACAGAGATCTCACGTGCCAGGATCACAATACCGGACGGTAATGGCAATACAAACTTGACTCATTATAGTCACGTGTCAGGAGCCCGCGATAACAGCGATTCTTCGCCATCGAGTCAGCGCAACAACCAAACTTCGAGATTCAACCAGCTCAAACCACAATCCCTAGAGCAATTTCCGTCATCTCTCACGGACGCAACAAGCAATCTACCGGAATATCTTGTCCTGGTGGGAAGTTGAGAAACGCTCATTCTCTCCGATAATCAAAAAACGGCCAGCCCAAATATGGCGGAGACTGTACGTCACACCCCCGTTTTCCCTTTACCGATCGGTTTCCCTCCCACATTTTCTTCATCACATTTCGCCGTGGGACCATCTCGACTCCCTCCGCTTTTGCTTTCTTGAAGCACCACCTCAACCCCCGTGTTCTTTTCCCTCTATATACCCATTACCTGTTGTGCAACGCTCGGACGCGAATTTTGCGAATCGAGCTTCACACTGGTTGACCTTTCTTTAGTGTGTTCCAGCGCTTCTTTTTTGGGTTTTCTATTTCGCCCCTCCCGCTAACGTGTGTTTGGGCTGGTCCGGATTAGCAGGTTGAACCCGCTCCCCAAAAACAACGCAAGTCCGTCGCATTCAGTGAAGGCGCTGTCATTATGGATACCAACGGCGAAGTGACGGAGGCTGCTCCGGTTGTTGAGAAGCCGGTCGCTGAGACTGAGGGTATATCTATCTTTCTTCCCTTATCCTCTCGTGGATATCAAATTTGATATTGACCTCTACATTTTAACCCACAGACAAGGCCGTCGACGAAGTTACCGAACTCTTCAAGGGTCTTTCGAAAAAGAAGAAGAGCAAGAAGCCCAAGGACACCGAGGGCGGTGATGACGAGACCCCCGCCGCCGACGGCGAGTTCGACCCCTCCGCTCTGAAGAAGAAGAAGAAGAAGCCGAAGAAGGTCGACGCCGGTGATTTCGAGGCCAAGCTCGCCGAGGCCGGTGTTGCAGAGAAGGACGGTGCCGTCGCCGAGGAGAAGGAAGAGGTCGTCCCCGAGGGAGACCACGAAGCTGGAACCGGTATCTGGGCTCACGACGCCGCGCAACCCATCCCCTACTCGCTGCTTGTGTCCCGATTCTTCTCCCTCATTCAGAGCCACCACCCCGATCTGTTGTCCAGCGGTACCAAGTCGTATAAGATCCCGCCGCCCCAGTGTCTGCGTGAAGGTAACCGTCGTACGATTTTCGCCAACATTGCCGATATCTGCAAGCGCATGAAGCGGTCCGACGATCACGTTATGCAGTTCTTGTTCGCCGAATTGGGTACCAGTGGTAGTGTCGACGGTAGCCGTCGTCTGGTTATCAAGGGTCGTTTCCAGCAGAAGCAGATTGAGAACGTCTTGAGAAGATACATCGGTATGTTCAACAGCCTGGTGCTATATCCCCTTTCAAAAGCTAACGATACTAACTCTCTGCAGTCGAATACGTCACCTGCAAGACCTGCCGCAGTCCCGACACCGAGCTCAACAAGGGTGAGAACCGTCTATACTTCGTCACTTGCAACTCTTGCGGTTCTCGTCGTTCCGTCGCCGCCATCAAGACTGGTTTCCGTGGACAGGTCGGCCGCAGAAAGAGACAGGGTTAAATGGGTTAATGGAATTTTTGTCAAAGGGGGAGAAGGATCCATGGAGGAAGCTACTACCATGGTGTCTTCGGTGGTATCTTCTGGCGCGGTTATGATTTGTTTCCCCCGCCTTTTTCGTATACAAAGACTTCTTCTTTCTTTTTTTCCTTATCCTTTTTGCATTCCATCTCTTATGTGAACATGTGGATGATGAACGTTGTGGGATCGATCGATCCATTCTTCGCTTTCGATGGTTCGGTTTCAGGGTGCAAGGGATTAAAAAAGAAGGGAAGAGGCGAGAGAGACGAAGTGAAGATTTCTTAGCATGGCATGATAGGTAAATGGATTGGTATGACCTTACTCCGATTTCACGTATTCTGGCGATATGGCAGATGAAGCAGAAATTGTGCTGGACTTTGCTCTGCCTTGAAAAAGCGGTCGAGCCTGCCAGAGTCATGAAAAGCTACTCAAAAGAAGTGACAGAAGATATCCAATTTTGTGACTATGCAAAATTATGACTTCGTAGAAAGCACATGAGTAGATACAGATACGTGTCAGGTATATAGCAGGGTAAATATTATCAAGCCAAAGCAACCGGAAGAATCAAAGAAAGCCAAAAAGTATGATACTAGCGATCATGATAAGCCCAGCAGATCACCACGTCTGCGTCTTTAGTTTTTAGCAAGACTAGTGCCCAGATGGGCAACAAACGAGGACACATTGCGTGTCTGCATGAAAACAGTGCCAGGACCTGTAAACCTACATGCAAGTCCCTCACCAGCACTCCAGTTAGAGATGATACCACCGGAAGCCACTCGTTCAATCTTGTAGCGGCAGTTCCAGGCCACCAGATGGCCGTTGTTCACGTAGTACGTTTCATCATCAGCGAGCTGAGAGTTCCGTTAGTTAGGCTTCATTCGTTGGGTGTTCATGGGGGGCATGTGCACAGGGCTAATCGCATACCTCTTTCTTGACAATCGCCCCGAAGCTCTGCATCCACACCAGACCGGAGCCGCTGAAGTTAAAGACAATGAAACCTTCACCAGAGAAGACACCCTTCATGAGACCCTGGGTCTTGAATTCAATCTTGACGCCTGTCGTGCAGGCAAGGAATGCATCTTTGCCAACTGTCCAATCTCTTGTACCGTCGACGCGGAGGACGGTAACATCTCCAAGAATGGAGGGGGCAATCAGAAGTTCTCCAGGACCGGTGTATGTTGACCGGGCCAACTGCCCTCCTGCAAGGGCTTTCATCCATCCAAATGAGAGCGAGCCTCTGAGGGACATGGAGGGGGACATTGCGATCATGACGCCTGCCGTGTGTGAATGTATGAGTATTTTTGTGTAGTCAATGATCAAGGTTAGGTTGGCTCACCCGGTCTCGCCTGTATGGGGCATCCCACTGCTAGCTGGATAGTCAAGAGTGTGTTCGTGTCCCGGTGACTGACCCTGTAGCTGCCACCATTGAATGTCCCTACATCGTCCGCATAGGTTGACATGGCTCCTACAAAGTTTTTCGGAGCAATTCTACTCGCAAGAGTCGCATCTGTCTGCGCTCGTGTGAGACCTGGTCCTTGTAGTGGTGCTTGTTGAGCTTCCGCGGAACTGAACATGGCTGAGTTGGCAGCAAACGACTGTCCATTCTCAGCTACATAGTTCGCCTTCTCATTGATCGGTGGGGCCGATGGGCTTGTCGACGAGATTGGTGAAACATCAGCCTTGTCCTCGTTTGAAGACACAGGCTGTTGCGGAGGTGGAGGAAAACTAAGATTCGGGGGAGGAAAGCTTGGAGCGGCTTGGGGTGGTGGTTGATATGCTGAGGACTTATTAGCTGGGAACTCAGGTAGAAGACCTAGTATTTGGAATATCATACCAGCGCCATTTGGCGGAGCTATAAATTGGGCTGATTAGCATTCAATGGCGATGGTGCGTAGTGCGGAGAACTCACGAGGGAAGGAAGGAGCTTGGTTTGGAGGAGGCGGATACACAACTTGCTCGGACATGATTGCTCAGAGTCAATCACTGTTGTTGACCGAGAAGACTGTTTGTCCTGAAACTAACGTGTGGGGTAAGATATTGTATGGAGAGGTATGGAAGTGCTTATGAGCTCTCAAGCACGGATGATAAAGATATGGTACGCTCGCAATTCGGAGCACTGGATAATGGAAGGAAAGTAAACAAAACCGGAAGGAATTGGCCCCAGGGGGAAGTAGAGGCATCTTGTTTAAATTGTCTGACATTATGCGACTCCAAGAAAATGAGGAGATGAACCGGGATGGGCTGTGGCCGCCGACCAAGCAGAGCTACTGCATGGTGATCGACGAGGGCGCTTAGAGAACGCCTCTGATAGCCCTGATGTGTGACGCCCACAGATAGCCCACCCGTGCTAACAAACATCATTGGTTGACACTTTAGCGCTCGGGAGGACGCCAAACTCCAATCTCAGAGCCCAGACAGAATCATTCGTGTCTAGATGACACCGGAATGGTGGAGCGTGTTCGAAATGAGGGGAACAAGCAGACGAGGAGGGGGTTGGTTGTTGATCCCTCTCCATACCCAGCGTTCTCAATGCACGTGCTGTAGTATAGCAGCATCCTCTCTCTCACTTCGGAGACAGGACCAATAGTTATCATAATCTTGAGATCATGGGAATTGATACAGCTCCTTTTATTAACAGGTCCTTATAGTATACACGTAAGCCGACTATGACCTTCCATCCGACGCTAGGGTCTAGTGTGCGCTTCCAGGATTGCCACGATATCTAAGCGTTCGCTTTCCCTAGCCTCGTCGAAAGCGGTCATACCACTATTGTTCACTCGGTGGATATTGGCCTTGTTATCGAGTAACAGACGAATGACTTGCTCGGATGCAAATGAGCGCACTGCTAGCATTAACGGCGTATAGCCACAAGCATCCGCAGAGTTGACATTTGCTCCATGTTCCAGGAGAAGCTCGACCATCTCTTCATTATTATCAATTGCAGCGTAGGTTAGAGGCGTTCTCCCATCTCCTGCGGCGCTCTCAATATCTCCGCCCTTCTCAATGAGCAATCGTGTGATAGCCAGTTGATTGTGTCGGACGGCAAGATGGAGAGCACTAAACCCTTGCAAATCTTTGTGCTCAATGTTTGCCAAATACTGCAGAAGCACAAGAACCATCGGTTCATCTCCGTGACTCGAAGATACGCCCAGGGGTGTTATGCCATTGGACTTCATGCCCAGGTTTGCATTTGCACCGTTGGCGAGCAGTTTCTTTGCTGCCTCTAGTTCCTGATTGCCAACAGCTTCATGGAGCGCCGTATATCCCTCATACTCTTGGTTGTTGATGTCTGCTCCATGTCGTCTTAGTGCCTGTATCGCTGCATCCGAACCGCATCTTGCGGCGAAAACAAAGGCCTTTTGCGTCATTGCCCCATAAAGCTTGCCAACCTCAGCCCACCTGAATAATAGCCAATGACCGAGAGCTTCCTGCGCGTTTTGTAAAGCCCATTCGAGGCAGAGCTGGTCCTCCTCACCAGGTACCTGCCTTTCAAACACAATATCCATGCCGTGCGTCAGCCAACCCAAAATTGTTTCCTCGGCGCATTTTCGCTTCTCTTGGTCATCGTCGCAGACTGCCACTTGTAAGTCCAAGAATTCATAATTCCCTATAGGTTCCAATTGCATCTTTATAGAGTGTCTATCGGTCTTGTTATCGGCAATATGCCATACAATCCAACCAAGCTGTCGAGAGAATTTGATCCACCAGGCCTTCTGGCGCTGGGACTTCATCCAGTCTGTAGGCCGAGAACTTCTTATACCGCTTGAAAACCTCAATCTTGGATCACCTTGTAGCAGAGAAAGTATGATGTCGAGCGCCTCTCTTCGAACAGTGTCCTCGTTGTGTGTGATCGCACGCTGGCAGAGGTAGCCAAGTTCATAAACGGAGCGTTCGAACTCCTCTCCATAAGAGCGTTCGCAGAGCCAGCGAGCAATAGAGAAAGCTTCCGCCCAATTATCGTTAGAGACGAGTCTTTCAATCTGCGCTCTCACCCGGTGCGAGTCTGCAGCAAGCTCTGGTAGAAGCTTCCGAGCTTTCAGAACCGGAACGATGCATAGCAGGGCGTCTTCTCTTGAACCAAGCTCTCCGGACTCGAAGCAGGCGACTAACTCGTCGAGGCGACTGCTGTATGAGGTATAGCTGTTTTGTGAGCCTGGGCGCACATCCACATCGCCACCAATTGTTTCGAAGTCTTGGAGAACGCTTCTGAGGAAATGGATGTAAATATCTTGAGCAGCCATGGTCTCGAGACTATTCTGTGTTTTCACAACGAGAATTTCCTTGTTTCCAGGATTCTTGTCTGAATAGAGTCCAAAGAGTTCGCTACCAAATGACACGGTCTTGGACGAAACCATCCTGGCTTCCGTATGGCGGTAAATCCACTTATGAAAATAAAGGTCGGTTTCTTCTGCCATTGCCTCAGATTTGGTCAAACCAACAGCACGATCAAGCCCCATCTGAAGCCATTTCGAATTCGACTTCAGCAGCGACCATGTCCATAGTCCTAGAATTGCCTCGAGCTCGGTCTCATCAACCTTCCACAACAAAGTATCTTCTGATCTGTGGAGCTTGATGGTGTAGGTTTCCAGCGCGGGATTGAAACCACCTTTGTTGAGAGACTGACAAGTGAGCATGAGGTCAAAGCTAACGGTATCACCAGCGATATTCTTCCAGCCTGATAACAAGTTCATTGTTCTTTCTATCGTGTCCGCCAGTTTTTGAGCTCTCTCCCTAATTGGAAGGCCATCCCAAGCTAAGCTGGACTCTTTGTCGGGGTTGGACGTAAGGCGGGCTAGTTGAGCCCTTGTCGTTATAAGCTTCGTTCCAAGGCCGGGTGTCTGACTTGGAGATTGTGTTGATGCAGCTGCTGACGAGGTTGTCGACTGAGCTCGAGATCTATGTGGCGCGCTCGAGACTAAACCAAACGACCTGACTTGTTCAAGATGAAACGCAAAGCAGTCAAGTTCTTGCTCGTTATAGGACACAAGATGGCGCTCTTCAGCCGTTAGGCGGTTCTCGTCTGATCCGGATCTCTTGGTCCGCAGGCAGGCTCTGACGATGGACATTAGGAGAGTAGCGCCCATTTCTGCCAGTACCACAGAGGCATGTAGCCCTCGGATACCAACAAATTGGATGACAAAACCAATAAGGGTAATAATCACAGTAAACACGAGCAATGGCCCTTTGCCGAAAACTCCAGGGCTTCTGACTGATTTAATATACAAGAGGTCTTCAGTCGCCTTGGAATTAGCTCCCTCGCTAACACCTAGAAAAGCCCCAAAAACTTGGTCACCGACATCCTGGCCGCCGGGCTGCAACCAGTAGATCTTGCTGGGCATTGCAGGTCGAATGTAGCATTCGGTGGATGAGCGCTCGATGATGAAAGCGCACAGGAACATTCCGATGCAGAGAAAGATAGACCCAAGGGAAAACAGCGGGAAAGCATAGCTTACGACAAGACTTCCGTCTTTTTTGAATTGTACCGGATAGAGGTACACAGTTATTGCAGCGTATACAATGACCCCTGACATAGTCTGTCAACATAGGCCCCAGGCAATACCAAAGACATGTCACGTCAACTCACCAACTTGCAGACCTAGCCCCAAAACAGCAGCAGCATAGAACCAGCCTTGGCTGCTCTTTTCAATTCCCTTGTTCAGGGACAGATTCGGGATGTCGAGCTCGGGCAAGTATTCCTTCTCATCGAGAATCCAACTTCCTTTGCCCGCCAACCAAGCACCCTCACGGAGGGCATCGCGGAGAGTTCCTATCCGGTAGGAGCGCTCCTTTGTCTGAGGATCTGTCTCCTCCCAGGCAATAACCTCTAGTAGTCGAGGTCTTCCGAATACCCTAGAGATTCCTCCATTGTTAAACATCTCTGCGGTTGTCTCGGACACGCATGACAAGAGTTCATTTTCAGCTTCACCAGGGCCCTCTTGAGCCCGCCCTATAAACGCGCGGAGAGATGAATTTCCGCAAACACGAATGACGGAAACCACAGCCGTCAGAATACCCAATGGGGCCACAGAGAAGAGAAAGTTATCTAAGATGCTGGTGGATTCAGATAAGAACTGCTTGCTCAGTCGCTCACCAAAAAGGGATATAAGAGGCGCCTAGAATTAGACTATCATTAAACTCGTCCCCCAAATATGTGTGAGAAAGACAACATACCAGGTCTGTAGCAAGGTCATCTGCAAAATCATCCCAGCCGGTGGCCAAAGCACCGGGAAGTAATGATAGTATAGTAATAAGCGATAGATGCCACACCATGGTGAGGCACGCGGTATGACAGACAGTCTGACAGAAAAGTTTAAGATTTTCCCCTAAAACATCGGCGGAAAATAGGATATAGCTGAATCAAATACATCTGCTATATTTACCAACGTCCCACCCTCCAGGATAGCTGCAGCTCAGCCTTGTCGCCTGTTCACAGCCCCGCGCGGACTCGATCGAAACACCAGCTCATCTTGCATCCCGGCGGTTCGAGCTGTCTTTGAGTCGCTGTCCAACAAATCACAGTTTATAATTGATTATAACACTAAATGGCTAAACGCCCTTGTTATGCATAAGGATTGTAGTTCGTCTATGAGTGGACACATCGTTGTGGCGTACCATAATTGTCGGCGCTAACAAGAATCGATCGTCGTTTCTCATGCCGGGGCGAGGGGAGATTGACTCGCCCTTAAAGGGTCAGCCGTGTAAGACACAGTAAAAGTGAGCAAGCTTAAGCGGCGACAATTAGAAGATCGTAACAATGATCGTACTTAAAGCAGGAATAAGTCGAGGTCTAGAGTAAAATCTTTCACGGCAAAGACTACAGGAGCGGTAAACCCGCAATCAAGGACAGATACGTAACGAGCAACCTCTGTCCGTAGTTGGCAAGACACATCTCAGTTACTTCTATGACTAGAATAATTTCACCATTAACCCAAGTAGTCTGCGACGCGCTATCCCAACTGACCCGAACTCAACGGTTTTGCCGAATAATAATGTAATCAACCACCAACGCCTTTCCCATGAGCAAATGAAGGTGAGAGAAAAGACAATCAAATGGCGCCTCTCCGGCCTGCACTTGAATAAGAAATATAAAAAACGAATAGGATTTCGACTAGCCACACATCTAAAAGATGCTGTTGACAATGTTCGAACCGACGGTAGCACCGGCACCGAAGATAGCTAGGTGTGATTGTCAGTAAGAATGATTGTAGATAAGGAGATGTCCACGGCGCATCAATTCGATATGTCAAAGTGCGCGTGCTTTGCTTGAAACGTACCGGCATTGCCCATCTTCTTGCCAAACTTCTTGCCCTGCTCCTCAAATTTGGACTTCTTGCCCTCCTCACCCGGGGGCGCCGAGCCACTCTGGCTGACTTCCAGCGGCATGTTTCCATAGTTGGTCGGGGGAGGAGACGAAACAGCCTTGTCATTCAGCACGTTCACGTAGCTCCGAGGGAAGATACCCTCAAGGTTGGTGCGCTCATTACGACCACGCCACCCTATAAACAGCGGTTAGCAAGGGAGGTGGCACACAAAGAGTATCGGCAGCCCTACAGTCGGCATTCATATGTTCCAAGACTTGAATACGATCGTTTGGTTGGAGAGCCAAGTCTCCGGGATCCGTCGGAGTGTAGGCATAGAGCGCCGAAGCGATAGACAGTACCGGTGGAGCTTGGGGATAAGCAGGTGGCGGAACAGGCGGGGTTGAGTACTGTTGCGGAGGAGGCTGCTGATAAGTGGCCTTCTCGTTCAAGGTAGTGTTTGCAAACTGGTTCGTAGGAGGCGAATACGGGGCAGGGGGCTGCTGGGCGACGACAGGTGGTTGTTGCACTGGTGGCTGCTGCTGAGGCACGGGGGCTCTGCTGCGTTCATCGTCCCTCGGTAGTTGCGATAGAATGGATGAGAGCTGTTGCGGAGTAATGACTGATGCATCTGCGAGAAACTCAAGCTCCTAGTGGATCGAAGGATGTCAGCAAGGTGTATCATTGAAGATCAGCTCGAGCAACTCCGTTTACTGAGCGATGCTGACAGGGGAGGGCATCCTACCGATCGGACGTTGCGGAGCGACCGGTTGGTCATAGCCGAGAAGAAGTCGGACTGGGACGCCATGCTCATGAGGTGGGTAAAAAGGAAAAGCACACAACAAGAAGGTATCAAACTTTGCAGATATGCAGATCAAACGAAGACAGTGAAAGACAGGGTTGAAAGAATGAGACAGAGAGACGGATGGGATGGAGGGAGTGGACGGAGGCAATCGATAATGAATGAATAATAATGTAACGGCATGGCAGGCCCGCCAGTTGGTTCTCCTTCTACCTGCTAGTCAGTTGGTACCTGAGGCCCCCAGTCCCGGGGGTGGGCTGCCTGCCGCTAATTGGCTCCGAGAATTTAGTCGGTCTTGTCATTTCAGGCATCACCATATCACAGGCGCCCTTTTGAGACATTGAAGAATCCACCTTGTCTTATTTTCCAGAGTGTGATCGGAGCTTATACTAACCCTGCATGTCTGGTGTATCTAACAGCAAATAGAGAATTCGACCCTTAGGAATCATTGCCACAGACATTCTCCGGCTATCCGGGAGTATTACCTAGGAATGAACAAGACACCTGTCGCTAACTACTACACTTGGAGACTGGAGACCCTACTCCTAATAAGGGGTGGCTCGTTTAAGTGGGACTCGAAAATTTAGTTTGTTTCTATTGACATATAGTCGAACTCGCATGTGCTCGATGTCAAGGTACCCGGACTGCATTGCTGATTCTCAGAATGTCTCCTTACGAAACACCTATGCTCTATGAGACTGGAATGGATTGCCCTACTTACTCCGTTTTGAAATATAAACGCATATACCCAAGCTTCAACTGAAAGTAAAGACCTTTCTTATGACGCCTGGGCGCCTTTGATAAACAAAGCAACTAGAATCTCAACTAAATCGATACTGGCAGCGGGCAAACTAATGGAACGCCTGCCATTTTGCACTGCAGCAAGCAACATATTAAATGACGGTAATCAAAACCAGCAAGGCATAATATCTTTTAAACAGCCCAGTCCCCTCTTCCTAATTGTCTCCAACGTATGAGCTGCGGAAGTATCCCGCAATCTTCGATGCCAGTTCGGGATCAAGGGCTTTGAGGCGTGAGTCTGGTCGGTAGAATCCTCGATAACGCATGCAGCAACCACATTCGGCGGTACAGTGGCCATGAAATCCAATCATCTCCTTCTGATCACCCTCAGGCAACAGATAGTGACGGAGAGGTCTCTCACAGCATCTACATCTGCGACCGCAACAGCCACCAAGCGAGGCGCACATGAGCTTGTCCTCCTCCCATGCCAAAGTTTGGCCCTCTTCATTTCGGTGATGCTGAAGGAAATCAAAGTCATCGATGATAGGACCAGATGGCTTGTCAAGGGTCAACGCTTTCCATGCCTTCTGGCACCGGTAGTAATGCTCTTCTGCAAGGGAGACTTGACGTTTCGGATCTGAGGGCCCCGGGACATGCTGGAAGGGGTTTTCTGGCTCAATACTATGTCTGTATCTGACCCTTTCCAGGCAGTTGATTCGCTGCAGGAGAGCGAACTCGAGTTCCTCGTTCTCCTTGTAGCGCTTGATCCAGTCTTTCTGGATGTTACACTTGCTGGGCCTGTGCTTCTCATATAGTCTTGCCCTATCGTAGAGACGGCGTCTGAGATTGTAGCGTTCGTCTTTGACCACCCGGAGCCAGATAGGCCTGAGTATTTCTGACATTAGATCAAAGGGTCTGTGAATAGACTCCTTCAGTATCAGCGACGCATGTGACTCGTAAGTCGGGGAGAGCTTGTGGGTGGTCATCTTGATGGCGTCCTCTGCTTTCCGTTGCTCTTCGTTGATTGTGCTTCTAAGGTTGACTCTGAAATCAGTAGAATTTTTTCTGCCAAACACTGTTGTTTACGTATACTGACGTAGTAGATACGGCGTCAGGATGAGGGCATTTGTGTGCTCGACCACGGAATCATGCTTCATTACTATACCGGCTAGGATAAATAACGATGGGGATGTTCATGTCCTCACAGACCATCTATATCAACAAACGTCAATAGAACTGGGCATATTGATGTGCAGGAGAGTACCAGTCAAGAATACTGTACTGCCGTTGCAAATACCTCGCCTCACCTCAAACCTATACTCATTACTATACAGGACATAATTCTACTTCCCGATATAGTAATACGCCATGGAAGCAGCACAAGAATCCCAGCCAAACAACACCGGCCCAAGCAAAGATATTTCTAATCAGCACTAAGCACAAATCTAACAGCTCACTCCCTAAATCAATAATCCCAGACAAGCGACACACTCTGACTCACCAAAAACAATCACCGAAGTAAAGCAAAGCAATGCAAGGCTCAGCCCAGAACCTCAGCCAACAATCGGGCAACGTACGGGGAAAGATTGGCCGATCAATGATGTCAGCAACCCTAACCCAAAGCAGACTAGCGCATACCGCCCCTCTGACTCCGCCATCCCAGGGCTCGAGAAGCTTCCGTGGCGTCGATATAAATTCAGCGGGCCTTGAACATTCCTCCTTACGACACACCTCACGCGATCGCACTTGACACTCACACACCGCCACCTTCACATCCTCCACCCACACCACACCCCTCAGTCAATCCACCATCACCTCTAGAACCTCCATCTTATCACCAACTTTGCATCTATCTTCAAAATGAGCGACTGGGACTCCGTTACGCGCATTGGAGCCAGACACACTGGTGGCCCTGCCACCCGCGAGACCGTCGTCAAGGGTAAGAGCGCCTTGAACGCCGCCCAGCGCCAGGGTCTCGTTATCGGTACCGAGAAGAAGTATGCTACTGGTAACGCTGTAAGTATACCACTTAATTTGCCCCTCGATTGGATTCAAGAAGCAGTGAAAGAGGGGTAGCCAGGCTAACACAGAAATAACAGGCCGGACGCTCCGGCGCCCCCGAAGGTCAGCACCTGACCAAGGTCGACCGCAGCGACGACATCGTCAAGCCCAAGACCGTTGGCTACCAGGTGGCGGATGCGATCAAGAAGCGCCGCAACGAGGAAGGCTACAAGATGACTCAGAAGGAACTCGCCACTAAGTGCAACACCACCATCACTGTTGTTCAGGATTTCGAGCGCGGTACTGCTACTCCGGACCAGAAGGTCCTCAGTGCCATGGAGCGCGTGCTGAACGTCAAGCTGAGGGGTACGGGCATTGGACAGGAGAAGTTCCCTAAGAAGAAGTAAATTGATCGGGGGTGAGCCCGCGGCTTTTTCTTGGGGGAATGGAGAGTGAAAAATTGTTGATTGATTGAACGGTGCTTTTCTTCATCACCCTTTTTTTACTCTTTCGACGGCTTTTTCTTACGGTTTTTATTTGGTCATGCCCCGGGTTTACTTACGACCTTTTTCTTTTTTCTTTTTCGAGAAACTTTTTCGGATGTTACGTTATGAATGAGATCCCATGATTCTTTACTTCTTTATCCCCCCAATTCACCGCTGTTTGTGGTTCTGCTGGTCGGAAGAGCGCTGGCCTGATATTTATTCTATGAGGGGAGTGTGATATGTGATCTTCGGGGAAGATGAAAAGAGAAGGAAAAGATCATACATATTGATAGAAATGTGCATTTTGCGGGTATTCGTGTCCCTAGAGAGTATCTTTTGAGTACTCGAAAGATAGAACATTGAGTTGCACGTTGAGCACGGATCAATAGTCTTGCAATAGACAAAAACAAGTGGCGAAGATACTACAGAGTCGCCCGGAACTGATTTCCACAATCATCTGAGATTATTCGACGAATGTCATCCAGTACTGACTCAGTTAGTATGTGACTAGCCTCAAATGAAGTGAGGAATGAAATAAACAATTGTATTAAACAAACGTACGCAAAACAGATCAGAATCCCTTACGCAATTCGGATCTTTACATTTCTATGTAAAAGTTATAAATCTTGCTAAAGCCAGCCAGTCGAATTTGAATTTCACTAACTCGCTCTACTAAAGCTTGGATTGAACTCAACTTCCCTCAGATTGAACTCTATCTATCTCACTTTCATCCTTTGACATGCGCTTTGCATTTGTCTTCGGTGCCATCGGCACCCTCATTTTGCTTCCTCTCAGCCACTGTCAGCCGCTTGATCCTAGCTGCACTCAACTACAAGGAGTTAACTCAAGGCTTGACAGCCTCTAACACGCTGCCGATCAGGTTCCCCCAAAGACGAAAACATCTTTCGCAATGCGAGAGCATGCGCAACTCTATCGAATCCTCGAGCGATCTGATACACCACAAGGAAGATGAGGAATGTGACAACTCTGACAAGTCCGACGATTTACTTGATTCTACTCTGGTATTTTGCATGCATCTTTTGATATGTATTCAGTCAACTGACATTACATCCTCTAGAGCAATCTGTCGGTAAGTAGGAGGCACACTTGAAGTCCTTCTTCGCTGGGTTGAAAAGCGTTCTGTATTAACCACTTCGACCCGATTTCAGGGATTGTAGGCTGTAAGTAAGCATATAAACCCCATTACTGTTTCGATTTTAGGCTGACTATGTGTTTTTTGTCAGGGCTAAAGCCGGAACTGGTAGACAAGCGACCGCTTAAGGTTTGCCTACTGCTCTTTCGGTACGTTATATGCTATATCAATACATATGGTGAACTGACATATCCTGTAGTTTTGCTGGTAGGTTTGTTTGAGATTTTGGCTGGGAGAAGCAGTACTACTACTACTTGTCATATTCATCTTTCAGGTCCTGTTGCGTATAGGTGAACAAGAGTAGTATTTAATGTATACCAGATTTGGTATTCACATGTTTCATAATACCTTATCTTGTTATTCAGCTTCTATTTTATAACGTAACTCCCGGCCGCATCGGCCACCCAGTACACCGCCCAACACGTTTCTACATGCAACCACTCTTTCTATCAAAGGCAGTGAATTAGCAATGAGTAGTACAATGATTCTAGGGCGGTGTGGTAGGGGTGGCCGATGCGGCCGGGAGTTACGTTATCTAAAAGTAGAGCATCATGTCCCCTGATAATTCTTCTATTCAGTTTTCTGATGCTAGCCCTTCCTACAGTCCTTCTTGGGTATTAATTGTTGCGTTCTCGCGATAGTCATTCATTGTATCAGAGACATGATAATAACACTGCCATGATTCGACAGTCTTATCCATAGCGTAGGTAAGGGTGAGGAAAGACGAAAAGAGAAAGAAAACATCATACACATTGATAAGAGATGTGCAGTTTGCGGGTATTCGTGTTCCTATAAAGTATATTTATTTGGTACTCCAAACAATAGAACATCGAGTTGCAGATTAAGCACAGATCATCAGTTGAACAAAAAACAGAATAAACCTGGAACAAGACACTATAGAGTTGCTCAGAATTGGATTTCATGCATATATAACAAGCCACAGCCAGTACTCAACTATGTGCCTTGCCTGAAACGGAGCAAAGCATGCAATAACAACAATTATTTGTGAAACCTACCGAGAACAGACAAGAAGCCCCATTCTAGATCCTGATACATTGCTATGTCCAAATTACCATATAAGGTTGCTAAAACCAGCACGTCATGTTCAATTATACTACTAGCTATATCCTCAACTTTCAACGTAACCCCCTCTCAAACTGAACTTTATTTCATTCACATCTTTCAATATGCGCTTTGGATTTATCAGTGCAATCAGCACCCTTGTTATACTTCCTCTCGGCCAATGTCGGCCGTTTGATTCTAGCTGCAGTCAACTACAGACACTTGACACCCATCTTGAGAGCCTTATACATTTCATGAATCAGGATCACACTGATGACCAAAGCGTATATCCCAATGAATGGATAACAAAATTGCATAACGCCCGCCCCCTGATCGAATCCTTGAGGGATTTGGCACGCCTAAGCAAAGATCAGCAGTGCCACGGCATCGAGCAAGAAGACATGACAATTAGCCGTCGTCAGGCAACAACCTCTCCAGATCTACTTGCTACTATTCTAGTATGTTACGTAGTACTCCATTGATATATTATGTCAACTGACAATACATCTAGGAAAACGAGTCGGTAAGTAGGGAACTGAATGTTTTCGCCTGCGCTGAAATACTTCGTACTGACCGCTGCGATCCTAATTTAGGGCATACTTGGCGTGAGTAGTGGATAAAACATTTAAAGCCCATTACCCGTTCGATCATAATCTAACGATGATTTTCAGAAAAGTGACTGAGCTCAATCTCGGAGCTGGTAGTAGGCAAGCAAGCAATGATTCAAGAATCTTTGCTGCTCTTTCGGTATGTTATATGGTCTATCAAGATGTATGGTGAACTGACATCATCCTATAGTACTTTGTTAGTGAGCATGTCTGAGGCTTTGGCTGGATAATCAGTACTATTTTGTCATGATTGTCATGATCAGATTTCTAGGATCCTCTGGATATGATTGAATAGAGTATTCAGTAGTATGTATAATATTTGGAATTTAATAACCTTGTAATGTCTTATTATGTATTAGATTTCTAGTTCATATTCTTGATAGAGTATTATGCTTTCTAATTATGTTTCTGTTCATTTATCTTATATTTATCCTTTCTAAGATCCATCCTATATATCAACTGTCACTTTCTCGTGATATTTAGTTATTGTGTCAGAGGGATGATCATGTTAGGCTGCCAGAAATTGAGGGTCTTAGCCGTTTTGTGATAGGCAGTTTGCACGTTGAGGTGTGATGGCAGTTGTTCGTCCAGATAAGCTTTTCTGCACAACATGATATCAGATTACAATACAGCCATTTTCCATATAGGATCATAGCGCATGTTAGTTGGCCTTTGGGATTCGAAATTAACTCGTATCATATACAACTACGACATATCATAGTAAGAAATACGGTTCAAGGCGGCTCTGTACATCTATATTCACGAGAACCCGCCACGAATACTACCATGAACTAGAAAGAAGAAATGAAGCAATGTAGTTTCTTTTATTAGGACACAAGAAAGCGACCAGAAAAGCAAATGGTACCAACTCCGACTTTATCATGGTTAAGAAATGATAGAAAAAGAACTCATGCCCTGAATCGCCCCGAGGTCTCTTTCTCGTACCGCCGTGCTGCCTGTCCTTGCTACTTTTGGTTTCTTTTGTAGTAAGTAAAGGAGAAAAATGATATCATCTTCGCCTCATGAACACATACACACACGATGCGTGTTTATAAAAACTGGTAGGTAGGTAAGATAGGGGGAGGAAAAACAAAAAACTCTTTGCAAAACTTTCGTCACACACTTCACTTCCTCAGCTGCTCGCGCTCAACCTCGTACATGAAGTCGAAGTAGGGCTTGTCGAAGTGGTGCACACGAACGTAACCGTCCTCACCACCAGAGGCGTAGGCAGTACCGGCGGGGTGGATGTGAACAGTGTTGAGGGGACCGAAGTGACCGCGGACACGGCCGATCTCGTCCTCGAAGACCTTGTGGTAGAAACGAGCCTCGAACTTACCCTGACGGGCAGAGGTCGTGGTGACATCCATGGCGGCCTGACCACCTCCCAGGATCACGTAGTCCTTCTTGGGCGTAATGGTGGCGCTGTTCAGGGGAGTGTCGGCAACGTAGGTTTTGAGGATGGCGAGGTTACGGGTAGACATGAGCTGGTTGGGGTTAGCATTTAGAGTCGTTTGATATGCAAAGTAGCAAGTTATGTACCTTGGCGGACTTGTCCTTGGAGGCAGTGATGAAGTAGGTGCGGTCGGGGGAGAACTGGATGTCGTTGATCTGGTGGTCGAACTCGTGGGCCTGGACGTTCTCCAGCTGCTCACCGGTCTGTCATCAAGTTAGCACCTAGCCCCCTCAACGCATAGCAAAAATGGTATTCTCCGCACCTTTCCATCGTACTGGCTGACACTGCCGTCTTCGTGACCAGCAATGATGTACTTGCCCATGTAACTCCAGCCGGCAACCGTTGCCTTGCTCTCTGTGCAGGTGATGCGCAAGCTAGGCTCCTCAGCCTGTTCCGTCAAGTTCTCGCCGTAGTTGATGTCCAACACCGCAATGGTACCCAAGAAACCCATACGCTTCTCCGTCACAGCCAAGAGTCTGCTTCCATCGGGGGTGAACTCGACCCGCTTGACGGCCGTAGGGAAGTCCCACACCTTGATGCACTCGCCGGTCTTCACGTTCCATAGTCGCACGGTGTTGTCTGCCGAACCGGTTGCCAGAATCTGAGTGTTCGGGCTCACATCGACCGTCCAGATAGCACCCTGGTGTCCGTTGTAGGTACCGAGTCGCTCGCCGTTGGCCGACCACCAGGCGCACACAATTTTATCCTTAGCCACGGAGAAGATAAGATCGCCATCGCGGTTGAACTTGATTTGGTTCAGGGACCGTTCCTATTTAGCAAAATATCTATCAGCGACTCGTCCAAATTTCCTTTCATTTCCCAAATTTTATATCATTTTCCTAGCTCCTGGGGGGAGCGACTATCATCGCGTTCGGGGGTGGGTATAGGCGAAACGCACATGGCCGGAGAGCAAAATAGGCCGCATTTTGGGCCGATCAAGCTGTGAATCTGGGTAAAGCGACGGAGGGGAAGAAGATGCTGAATCAGAGGTATGTATCCTCTGTAACCGGAGTCGACTAAGACCTGCGAGATGAGGCGGAAATCCTTGCGGGGTGCTGGCGGGCTCACGTTGTCGGCGTCGTCAGACTAGTTTGAATTTCATCGCACAGTCCGGGCTTGCCCGCCAAGACTTTCCTGATCGAGCCTGTTCTGTATGAAACGCTTCATACCGGATACGTGGTTCTTCCGTTGCGATGATACACATCATGTGATTTGACCAAGCCCTGAAGATTTCCTACCAATTGGGTTCTGGAAGACATGATGGGCTGACCGCCAACTACGCGCTATACCCAATGCAAACATATGGCGTTCCGAAAGTCCGAAGCATCTGAAAGTTGCGGCTCGCGGGAAACTTTGTCTTGTGAAAAACAGCAGAACAATGGTAAAAGGAGGAGGCATTGAGAGTCGCAGAAAGGACAGTTTCACCCACTAGAACTATAGAATATAAACAGATCACAAAGATCAATTGGGAGAGCTGCAGACACTGAAGACATTCAGTGTTGTTTGGAAGCTAATGATTTCAATTATTCAACGATATTACTCGCGTTTGCGTTGATCGACCTTTTCCCTATCTCCATCTGACCCGGCCGAGGAAAGCTGGTTGGCACTGGGCCAACCGACGAAGCAAATTAGATGCCTTTCCCCCCCGCTCGTTCGGCGACACTACCCCGCTGTGCTGTCAACGCGAAGCATTCTTATACCCTTTCCCCCAGTCACCGTTTTTACCCACTACTTCCACCCTCTGTTCGACGCCAATTTTCTTCTGCACGCGGGGTTACGTCTCGTATCCGCTTTTCGCCGTTATCTGCCAGACCTGGCGTGCTAGCTTGCGAGTGGCTTGGTTGCGCACCGTCTTGTCATCATCGTCCATTCTCCAGCACCAGGACAGCCATGACGGCCACCAACATTAATGGCACCCAGATTGCCAAGAACATCCGGGCAGGGTTGAAGGAAGAGATCCAGAAGATTCAGGAATCGAATCCCCGCTTCAAGCCTAATTTGGTGATCTACCAGGGTGCGTCTTGCGGTCACAGAAATCTGCCCCGCGGTCGAGAATAAGCTGACAGTGCAAAATGAACAGTGGGAAGCAGATCGGACTCGAGTAAGTAGTAGGCGTCGTGTTGGTGGGAAGGTTGTATAGACTAATTCATGTTTCAGGCACCTATGTGCGCATGAAATTGAAGGCCGCAGAGGAGGTGCGTCACCACTCATGATCTCCATCCTTCGATCTGTCAGTGCTGACTCGTTCCGAACAGGCCGGTATCATCTGCAAGATTATCAACTTCCCCGAAGACGTCACACAGGCCGAGGTCCTCCAGGAAATCACCAAGTCCAACAATGACACCTCAATCCACGGCATTCTCGTCCAGCTGCCCCTCCCCGAACACCTGTCCGAACACACCATCACCTCTGCTGTCGCCGATGAGAAGGATGTCGATGGATTCGGTGCGATCAACATCGGTGAACTGGCCAAGAGGGGCGGTCGTCCTCTCTTCGTCCCCTGCACCCCGAAAGCTGTGATGAAGCTTTTGGCGGAGGCCGGCGTCGACCCCTCCGGAAAGCAAGCCGTGGTCCTTGGCCGCAGTGACATCGTCGGAAGCCCGGTCAGCTATCTGTTGAAGAATGCTCACGCCACCGTGACCCTCTGCCACTCGAAGACCCCCGATATTGCACGGATCGTCAAGACCGCCGACATTGTCGTTGCGGCAATTGGACAGACCGAATTTGTCAAGGGTGATTGGCTGAAGCCTGGCGCCGTCGTTATCGATGTTGGTATCAACTACAAGCCCGATGCGACCAAGAAGTCCGGTTCCAGACTTGTTGGTGATGTCGAATTCGAGTCTGCCGCCCAGGTTGCTTCGCAGATCACCCCGGTCCCCGGTGGTGTTGGTCCCATGACCGTGGCTATGTTGATGGAGAACGTTGTCTCCGCAGCCAAGGCGTACTTCGAAAAGCAAAGAGACAGACGCATCACTCCCCTCCCGATCAAGCTGGCCAGCCCCGTTCCCTCCGATATTGCTATCTCGCGTGCGCAGTACCCTAAGCAGATTACGGACCTCGCCTCGGAAATTGGCATTGAGCCTCACGAGCTCGACCCCTACGGCCACACCAAGGCGAAGGTCAGTCTCGGTGTGCTCGACCGTCTGTCGCACCGTCGCAATGGTAGATACATCCTGGTCTGTGGTATCACCCCTACCCCTCTCGGTGAGGGCAAGTCCACAACTACGCTCGGTCTCTCGCAGGCTCTTGGTGCACACCTCGGCCGCATTGTGTTCGCCAATGTGCGCCAGCCTAGCCAGGGCCCTACGTTTGGTATCAAGGGTGGAGCTGCTGGTGGAGGATACAGTCAGGTTATTCCTATGGATGAATTCAACATGCACTTGACTGGCGATATCCATGCTATCACCGCCGCCAACAACCTTCTCGCTGCCGCCATTGAGACTCGCATGTTCCACGAATCCACTCAGAAGGATGCTGCTCTCTACAAGCGTCTCGTCCCCGCCAAGAAGGGCGAGCGCAAGTTCCAGCCCATCATGTTCCGCAGACTGAAGAAGCTGGGTATTACCAAGACCAACCCCGACGACCTTACCGAGGACGAGGTTCGCCGGTTTGCTCGCCTTGACATTGACCCCGAGACTATCACTTGGCGCCGCGTTCTTGATGTTAACGATCGTCACCTCCGCGGTATCACTGTGGGACAGGCTCCCACGGAGCGAGGCCACACTCGTGAGACTGGCTTCGATATCTCGGTTGCCAGTGAATGTATGGCTATCCTGGCCCTGAGCAACAGCCTGGAGGACATGCGTGAGCGTCTTGGACGCATGGTTGTTGCTACGTCGAAGAACGGTGACCCTGTCACCTGTGACGATATTGGTGCGGGCGGTGCGCTTGCTGCGTTGATGAAGGATGCCATCAAGCCCAACCTGATGCAGAGCTTGGAGGGTACGCCTGTTCTGGTCCACGCCGGTCCTTTTGCCAACATCAGTATCGGCGCAAGCTCGGTGATTGCCGACAAATTGGCCCTGAAGCTCGCGGGTACGGAGCCCGATGAGGATCACGAGTCCAAGACCGGCTTCGTGGTGACGGAAGCTGGCTTCGACTTCACCATGGGCGGTGAGCGGTTCTTCAACATCAAGTGCCGGTCTTCCGGTCTCTCTCCGGACACTGTGGTCATTGTGGCTACTGTGCGCGCCTTGAAGGTGCACGGTGGCGGTCCTGAAATCAGCCCCGGTGCTCCTCTGCCGGAAGTCTACCGCACGGAGAACATCGACATCCTGCGCAAGGGCTGTGTTAACATGAAGAAGCACATTGAGAATGCTCGGCAGTATGGTATCCCCGTGGTGGTTGCGATCAACCGCTTCGAGACGGACACGGAGGCCGAAATCGCCGTTATCCGCGAGGAGGCCATTGCGGCCGGCGCAGAGGACGCGGTCCCCGCCAACCACTGGGCTGAGGGCGGAGCCGGTGCGGTGGACCTGGCTCGGAGCGTGCTGGCAGCTAGCTCCAAGCCTAAGGAGTTCAAGCTCCTGTACGACCTGAACGGCAGCATCCAGGAGCGCATTGAGCGGATCGGCACGGCCATGTACGGCGCGGAGAAGGTTGAGTTCAGCGAACTGGCCCAGAAGAAGGTTGACACCTACACGGCGCAGGGCTTCAGCAACCTGCCCATCTGCATTGCCAAGACGCAATACTCGCTCAGTCACGACGCGGCACTCAAGGGCGCCCCCACTGGCTTCACTGTGCCCATCCGGGACGTTCGGCTAGCAGTGGGTGGTGGATATCTGTAGGCATCCCGTCTCATTCTGTGCTTAATTTGGATCCATTGAGCTAACCCATTGTGATTAAAGGTACGCACTGGCTGCGGACATCCAGACCATCCCCGGATTGCCGACGGCGCCAGGATACTTGAATGTGGATATTGACCCTGAGACCGGAGAGATTGACGGTCTGTTTTAGACGGTAGACTCAACGTCATTAGTGTTTAGAGATGGGACTGGTTTTATTTTCATAATGTCATCGATTATTACTGTTTGTCTAGCATGATTCTGGCCATGAAAAAAAAGGCAAGGGAAGGTTTATTTCAACATATTGCGGCAGGACTATACAGGGCCGGTGTTTTCGGGTCACTGAAGGAGGGTCAACTTCAACAGGATTGCAGTGTCTCTTTCTGCGACATACATAGTACAAAGACTATTACATAGTTAGATGGTATCCAATGTAGAAAATCTACAGTGGAGATTATCTTGATTATCTCGATATGAACTACTCTGTACTGAGTATAATTGAGTATGGTGCTGGTCTGGCGTGGGGAATCATGGATGAGTCATCGATAGTTGTCCGGGGAGGAGAGTGGCAAGTCCGACCGGCAGCGACTTCGGTGGTTGATGACCCGGCGGAGCACACTGTATCCGTTGCCGCGGGAAACAGCGGTTGCGATCGGCTAGACTGGTCGGAGAATTCTACTTTAAGCCTTTAACGTTGCAGACACAGGGATGCGAATGGGATGGCTAAAAAGCAAATTACGCGGGATGTTGTCAGGTGCATTTAGGGGGTGACCAGTTAAAGTTGCGAGTTACGGCGTATACTGAGGGAGGTTATAGTTATAGTTTCGTTACGTGCACCGCGGAGGACTTCATCTTATCTTGATGGAGATCAATAGCGGCGGACATTAAGCAGGGAGGGAGGAAGGGAGGAATGGAGAGTCTGGAGTAGTACTCCGTAAGGGCGGGAAGGGAATAGCGCAGAATTGGGTGAGGAAGAGGGTCTGATGCCACCACGGACTGCAGCTTGACCGGACCCATTAGTTAGTAGCAAGTAGTGCCAATTCCCAGGGAAGGGAACTTTTCCCCCCCAGTCTGAGAGTCGAATAGTCCGGCTTCGGCGACCAGAAAGTCGCAACGGTGGGCGGAAAGGGAAGTGGGTGTGTGTCAATTCCAAGCCTTGGGAGGGAACATCCACGCCGGATAAGAGGTGTTGGGGCGCCCTCCATTTGCCTTTTTCCTCTCTTCACTCACTCTCTCTCTCCTCTCCGTTCTTCCCTCATTCCTCCCCAGGTTCTTGCTTATTGCAGGAAAGATTATTTCCCAGAGTGAACAGAAACGATTTTCCGGGTTCTCCGATCTGCCCCGTGAAGGTCCCTTACAGCAACAGCATCTCGTCCAGTCCGGCTTAACGGCAGCTTCCGAACTCCACCACCGCCTCCTTCCAGCCGAGAGCTTCACGGCTTCTTGCTTGTCTTTCCCTCGGGTATACTCTCTCTCTCCCTCCCTCCCTCCTATTCTCGTTGCCCCCAAGTTTAGATCCTCCTCCTCGTTTCCCCGTACCCGATAGACTGATCCGCTTGGGCAGACTTTCCCCGGTTCCTCCCACACAGCAGGCCCAGTTACTGTCGAGTCTTTGGCAATCCATCCCACACCATGTCGTCTGTCCGGTTCAGTTCCGCATTGGCGCGCCGCTCCTTCGCCGTCGCTTCCCCTCCTCTCTCTGCCCCTCTCTCTTCCTCCGCTCGTCGCTTTCTCTCTTCTTCCTCTTCTACTATTTCTTCTTCTTCCTCCTCTGTCTCTACTCGCTCTCCCAGATCTCTTACTTCTGCCTCATCCCTTCTCTCCTCTCGTACTGCTTCTGCCCGCTGGACCGGTCTATCCTCGTTGAACCTTACTCAATCCCGCACCATGGCTACCGAAATCCCCAAGATCAAGGTCAAGAACCCCGTCGTTGAGCTCGACGGTGATGAGGTATGTCTGATTTGACTTTTACGTTTTGGCTTCCCTCCCCTCCTTTATATATGTATAATCCTGCATCTCGGCCCTGCCCCTCGTCGGGATGCGCATTTTCGTCATGGCGCATTCCAGACGCGGGGAATAACGGCGGCTGCCGCCTGGCCCCTGGCAGCCAAGCGTCAATCGTTCGGCGATCCAGGGCTCAATTGCAGGACAACAGAAAGTTTTGACATGTGCTAACGTTGCCCTTCACTAGATGACCCGTATCATCTGGCAGGAGATCAGAGAAAAGGTATGTAGTTGGCCCTCGGCTGCCCCGCCATGCATCAGCTCCAGATGCATTCCTCCCGTTCTCTCCCGCATCTTCACACGCTAACTCGGCCCCGCTTCTATAGTTGATTCTGCCGTAAGTCGACTTCTTCCGATTATTGACCATCCAGTCAGTCGACTAAGACATTACGCCTAGTTACCTTGACGTCGACCTCAAGTACTATGACCTGGTAGGCTTCTGTGACAAGAATTGGTGTTCTGGGTGGAGACTGACCGGCATTGCAGGGTCTCGAATACCGTGACCAGACCGATGACCAGGTCACCGTTGAGGCTGCCGAGGCTATCAAGAAGTATGGTGTCGGTGTCAAGTGCGCCACCATCACTCCCGATGAGGCTCGTGTTGAGGAGTTCAAGCTGAAGAAGAGTACGCATACCGAAGCATGTGAATGGAGTCATACTAACCCTTGCTTCAGTGTGGCTGTCCCCCAACGGCACCATCCGTAACATCCTGTTCGTACCTTGCTGCAATCCCTGCTGTTAAGCTTAATTGCTAATTTTTCTGCAGCGGCGGTACCGTCTTCCGTGAACCCATCATCATCCCCGCCATTCCCCGTCTCGTCCCCGGCTGGAACAAGCCCATCATCATCGGTCGTCACGCTTTCGGTGACCAGTACCGTGCCACCGACCGTGTCATCCCTGGCCCCGGCAAGCTCGAGCTTGTCTACACCCCTGTCAATGGCGAGCCCGAGACCGTCAAGGTCTACGACTTCCAGGGTGGTGGTATTGCCCAGACTCAGTACAACACCGATGAGTCGATCCGTGGCTTCGCCCACGCCAGTTTCCAGATGGCCCTGCTCAAGGGTCTCCCTCTGTACATGAGCACCAAGAACACCATCCTGAAGCGCTACGATGGTCGCTTCAAGGATATCTTCCAGGAGATCTACGAGTCCACCTACCAGAAGGACTTTGAGGCCAAGAACCTCTGGTACGAGCACCGTCTCATTGACGACATGGTTGCCCAGATGATCAAGAGTGAGGGTGGATTCGTCATGGCCCTGAAGAGTAAGCTTTTCCCCTGAGATTGTGTGAGGGCTATGCTAATCCAAAACGTATAGACTACGACGGTGATGTCCAGTCCGACATTGTCGCCCAGGGTTTCGGCTCCCTTGGTCTGATGACCTCGACCCTGGTCACCCCTACTGGCGAGGCTTTCGAGTCTGAGGCTGCCCACGGTACCGTGACCCGTCACTACCGCGAGCACCAGAAGGGCCGCGAGACCTCCACCAACCCCATTGCCTCCATCTTCGCCTGGACCCGCGGTCTGATCCAGCGTGGCAAGCTCGACGAGACTCCTGATGTCGTTACCTTTGCTGAGGAGCTTGAGCGCGCTTGCATTGAGGTTGTCAACGATGAGGGCATCATGACCAAGGATCTGGCTCTGGCCTGCGGCCGCAAGGAGCGTGAGGCCTGGGTTACTACCCGCGAGTACATGGCTGCCGTCGAGCGCAGACTCAAGGCCAACCTCAAGTCCCGCCTTTAAATACCCGATTGTTTTCCATTGATACACTAACGCTAGCGTGACTCGATGAGTCGATATTCTTAGAATTACGGGTTGCATTATGTAGATTTTACAAAAGGTGGAGACAGTTGTTGAAACCACATGTATAGTGCAACTGATGTTTGTTCCATGTCTCATGAACTTGTACATGCTTGATAATGAAAATAGATGCAGTCTTCTGATAAATTATGCACTTTTCTCGAACATTTCCTAACCGAGCCCACTGATGTAAGAGGACAAATGAATCTGGGCGCCAACGGACCGAACCGTGGATCCTCACAAAATGTGGTGGCACATCCAGCCCAGTCCAGCAACATCCGCGGGGATTTGACTTTATCAGTATCCTTGACGCAATAGATCTGGATCCGGCCTTGCAACCTCGGGCTTAGCATTGCCACGTCTGCTTCAGCAGCAAATTCTTTTTTTTCCCATTCAAAAAAGATGATATCGTAGACCTCAATCGAAAGATGCCGCTCCCTTCCTCCGAAGGAAGTAGACGTCGTCAGTTCATCCCAGCAGGATGTATGCCCTGCCCGTGGGAATCGTTTTCCTTTGCCTGGCGACGATCACGGTCGCGCTGCGACTGTATACAAGGTTGAGGTTGGTGAGGAAGCCGGGATGGGATGATTTGTTGATTGTGGTGTCGTTGGTGAGATGCCAGATACCCTCTAGGATAGTTGATTGATTGAGTAATGCTGATCTGGTGTATGTGTGGTGGATAGGCGACTGATATAGTGTTTTTTGCTTTTTTGGTTATAGGTATGTTATCCCCAAATATAATATGGAATATACCTGAGATGAATGATAGTACTAATAAGGATGTATGAAATAGAAAGCCAAAACGGCCTCGCCGAAAACGAAGCAGATCTTCCGCCGGAGGTAGTGAGGAGACAACTGAAGGTATACCCACACCCACACACATACATACCCTAATTCCATACACATACTAACCACTCCATGAAATGGAATGGAATAAAATAGGCCCTCTGGATAACAATCCCCCTCTACAACCTCACCCTAACCCTCACCAAGTTATCCCTAATATTCCTCTACCGCCGCCTCTTCCCAACACACACCTACCGCATCCTCCTCATCCTAACCCTCATCTTCGTCATCATCACCGGCCTCTGGATGGTCCTCAGCACCCTCATCTTCTGCATCCCCATCAACGCCTTCTGGGATACTTCCCTGCCCCATACATGTCTCCCCGAGGATGTGGTCTGGTGTCTTAACGCCGCATTCCAAATCACTACGGATTTGATCCTTGTGGTATTGCCGTTGCCGATCCTGGCGAGGTTGAATCTGCCGAAGAGGCAGAAGGCTGCCTTGTTGGTTATTTTTGCGTTGGGGTTTTTGTATATCTCCCTACCCCTATACCTCCCTCCTTACCCCTTTTAAAACTTATCTTATGTGTGCTGATGATATAATTTGATGGGTATAGTGTCTGCGCAACAAGCATAATCCGCCTAACAACCATCGTCCGACTCCTTCGAGATCCAGACTTTACCTGTACTCCACCCTTATCCTACCCCATATCCCCCATATAATCACCCCCATACTGAGAAAGAAAACTATAGCAGGAAACGGCCTCGCAGCAACCTGGTCCTTCATCGAATCCGCCGTCGCCATAACCTGCGCATGCCTGCCCCCTCTCCGCCCCTTACTCGTGCGGGTATTCCCGAAGCTGATTCCCTCTCGAATGAGATCTTATCATAATAGGGATAAGGAGTCGCGATCTAACAGTAACAACAACAACAATAATAATAATGATAAGGCCGAGGAGGCGGGAGTTCAGCTTCCTTCACGACCACCTACGATATCTAAGTCTAGGACGAGGAAGTCTATATCAAAGAAAGGAGGGCCGTCTAGGAATGAGGACTTTGATTTCCTATCTGTGTATGGGGCCGGTGGTACGGCGGGGTTGTTTGCGCCGGGGAGTACGGTGTCGACGAGTGTTTGGGGGGATGCGGGGAGTGTTAGGTCTGCGGGAGTTGATGGGGATGGGAATGGGGATGGGAATGGAGGGAAGGATGGGAATGGGAATGGGGAAGGGGAGAGGGATAGTGGGGGAGAGGGGATTCAGATTATGAGGGAGGTGAGGTGGGATTCTGTTTCTGTGTCGGAGTCCGTGGATGGGAGTCATGGGGGAAGTCATGGTTGGGGAGATGTGGAGGGGAGGTTGTCGGAGGGGACGAGTGGGAGGAGGTCGAGTGGTGCGCCGTTTTTGCATCCGCAGTGGGTGGGGGGGAATATTGCTGAGTGGTAGGATTGTATTGTATAAAGTAGGGTTAGAGAATGGTATTTGTCGGTGTATACACTTTGATATGTGATGTCTGTCTCGGGCTAAGAGAATAGTAATATCCGAATCATCAATGAATCAGCGCTATCTACTAGTATTGATCAAGCATACTGAAGAATACTACATGACCCACACCTCTTTTAATGGCCAAATCCAACCTTAATCAATCTGTTGTAAAACCCACCAGACCACCCATCATGAAACTTCACCCTCTGATCCGCCATTCTGAGCATTCTATGCCTCGGCATCTGTCTCAGCGTCCTCTGTGCCAGCGTCCACAGTCCCAGCGTCCACAGTCTCAGCGTCCACAGTCTCGGTATCCTCCCTCTGAGTAAAAGTTTGTTCCTGTCTAGTCAGCTACTGTAGAAAGAGCGGATCGAGTATGGCGGGCTAATAACAATGCAAGACTGCAAGACACTCACCACATCTGTTTCAACAAGGATTCCTGACAGCCCTACAACAACAGAATCAATACGATCAATTCCCGTTTCTGGGGCAGACATGTCGTCTTCGAACAACTGACCCCGGCGATTCAGTCTATCTCGATGTCGCGCACGCCTCCTCCCAAAGGAGCCGTTTCCACTGCCTCCTGAAGTCGCAGCTTCACTTCCTCCATTCGTCTGAGGTTGAGTATGTTCAACAGATGTAGATGCAGAAGCTGCATAGCCTGGCGTATCTACAGGGGTGACTCCGTTTACATGATTCCGGGGAGGTGCTTCTCCTTCCTGTTCTGCCTCAGCTGGAGGCTCTGTCCCGGTAATTGGTACGGCGTGAATGGAAGATGACTCAGTGATTGCGGTTTCCGATGCGGACCGATCTCTTGCTTCCGCTCTTATAGAGTCCCGCATATCCCAGCGCGTCCGACGAGTCCCGTTCTCCTGGAATGCCTGAGCCGCCTGTGCTGCCTGAGACGCTTGGCTTGCCCGATGTCCTTGGTCCGAATGAGACATAATCACTAGAGGAATTCCCTCTTCTCCTGGCAGAGAAGGGTTCGAATGATCCGGAAACTCTGGAGGCGAATTCAGAGGCGGGTTTGCAGGAGAGTTAGGGGAATCCGCAGGATTATTGACAAGAGGATTTTCAGGAGTATTCGCAGGATGCCCTGGAGGATCTGCAGGCGTATTCTGATGAGATGGGGGATGTTGTTCCTCATGTTCAGGCTGATCCTCATGCTCAGATTGTTCCTCATGTTCAGACTGATCACCATGCTCAGACTGATCCTCATGCTCAGATTGTTCCTCATGTCCAGACTGATCCTCATGCTCAGACTGATCCTCATGCTCAGATTGTTCCTCATGTCCAGACTGATCCTCATGCTCAGACTGATCCTCATGCTCAGACTGATCCTCATGCTCAGATTGTTCCTCATGTCCAGACTGATCCTCATGCTCAGATTGTTCCTCATGTCCAGACTGATCACCATGCTCAGATTGTTCCTCATGTTCAGACTGATCACCATGCTCAGATTGTTCCTCATGTCCAGACTGATCACCATGCTCAGATTGTTCCTCATGTTCAGACTGATCACCATGCTCAGATTGTTCCTCATGTCCAGACTGATCCTCATGCTCAGAGTGTTCAGAGTGTTCATTCTCCTGGTTCTGGTCATTCTCCTGGTTCTGGTCATTCTGCTGATCCTGGCCGTTCTGCTGATCCTGGCCGTTCTGAGTACACCGAAGACATGGGCACAAGAGCTCACACAGTCTTTTCCGAGAAGAGAAGCACAGTCCAACAAACGGACTAACATTCAAGCTTGCCCCAAACGGCGGCTGCTCAAGCTTAAAAGATGGATCCAACAAGATAGAATTCGCAGGCAATTGAGCAGCAAGCCCCTTGGGAAGATCGGAGGCACGAGAAGAGGCATTGCTATCACTCCGCTCAGACACGCTGCGATGGTAGCTGTCGACGTTTTTGTAGCAATGATGGCATATAATGTCGTATTCACCTATTCTTGGGAAACAGTTAAAGCTAGCGGGAAGCATAGTCTCGTAGAGCGAGCTATCGCCCCAGTCGAAATCGCCGACTTGGATCCAGGAAGGTAGCTCGTCAAGGGGAATCAGAGGAACTACCATGTAACCTGGTCGGTAGACGTAGAAGTTGGGGAATGGTTGGAATTTGTTGATAGGGTGGGACATGCGTGGTATGAATGTAGTGATATGCAGATCTTGGTTATCAAACGAGTGGATGGTGTATCGATGAAGATACTTAGTGTGAGAAGAGTACAGTAGTGGGGTTGTTTTGATTGATTATTGTATATGCTTAGTTTGGGTGTGCTTTCCGGAAGCTGATGTGTCGGGTGTGGCTTCCTTATTATTTTCACATTACTTCGATCAAGTCGATAGCGGGCTGTAGGTCCCGTTTTTACAGGTAAACCCGAGATCAGGGTTGAGGGCTGCCGTTGCGTTCATGCAGATCACACTTGCCGGTTCCAGATCTTGCGGGTATAGCTGAATGTTGTCCGTCACGAAGTTCTTACAAGACTGCCCTGTATGACACTCGATAATGAGGGCCTCCGTGTGCTTCAAATTTGGCAGCCCAACGTTGTACCAGCAAGGGTCGGAGACGCAAGAGCCGTCGCCAGGCTGATACGTATTGATCGAGCCTGAAAAGCCAGACCAGGTGAAATCCTCCATCATCACAGCTGAACTGGCATTGACAGTCCCGGACCGGGAGGCGCCTTGGTCGCTATAGCTTTGAGTGACAAAGATAGGGAACGTCACGTTGAAGACTCTAATGTTATTCCAAGTCACATTCTTGACGAGTCCGGTACCTCCGCTCCATGACTTGAAGCGTGCGGCGTAGAGGCCATCGACAACAGTCACATCGTCAAAGCGGATGTTGCTGATGTTGGCAAAGTCTGTGGGATCTTTCCCCAGTGATCCGATGCTCATGCCATGGGTCTGGTAGCCGATGGTGTTTCTTGTGAAGAGTATATCGTGCGAGTCCGCGCCTACTGCAATCGCGTCGTCGCCGTTGTACATGATACTGTCGGTAATCTGGATATTGGTACCCTCCACATCGAAGCCATCTGTGTTGAAAGGAAAGCTACCTGTCGAGGTAGCATCGATGATGGCATGGCTAACTGTAATGTCTTGTCCATGCAGCTTGACATTCCAGGCGATAGGCTTCCTGGACCTGAAGTATTTCAAGGTCGCTTGACTAGTCTTGAAGCTCATGAGATGCGGACGATTGTCGATGCCTGAACTACCTGCAGGGTTCGCATCCCACCAGGGCTGTCCATACGAGTCGATCCAGCCATTATTCACGTCTTCGGGACCAGTCCAGTCCACCTTGGGCCCTTCCAAGGTGAACCATGTAGAGCTACCGTCACTGACGATATTCTGCACCGCAGTGATGTTCTGTGGCAGATGCAGATTGCCATGCATCCGGATCTCCACATTACTGAGGTTGGTGGCAGTGATCGGTTGGAAGACATTATAATTCACACCCTCCTCGAAGAGGATAATTGAGTCAGTTGCGCATTGTGCAAAAGCCTGGGAGATGGCAGACGAGTCATCAGCCGTTCCATTTGATGCCTGGAATTTAGACGGAACCACGCATTGTTGGCTTCGAGATGCCCTGCTGGAGTGTGGAACCCCGTGGACGAGTGACGAAGAAAGAAGGAACAGGAGTGATGCCTTGAAAACAGACATGACGATGCGTGAGTAGACAATAACCCACTAATTAGCCAGTAGCATTCGCACACTCACCCTTACTTATATCCCAAGTTGGTGTATCGTCTCGAGGTTCAGGTTCTCAACTGCCATGCCATTAGACATGACAAGCGTTCGGAAATTTGCATGTTTCTCAGGTCCATTAACCGGGAAATTTCCTGAAGAGGTCGCAAATAGAGTATGCGCGGGACCTGATCGGCGTATAGATCAACCAAGACAGCAGCGCATTAGGCTGGCATTGGTGGAGAAATTGTGAGAGGTAGCCAAGTGTGGAGAGCTGCCCAGAGACGGCCAAGGTAGCTAGCTTCTTGCTTCCCCGTATGTTCATGATGAGAGAAGTGTACACGAAGAGCATCTTATAAAATAGATAAAATAGACCAAGAAGTAGATTGACTGCTGATGTCAAATAAAGTGAGAGCTGGTATGCGGCAGGGATGTGATGGTGCCGTGCAAGTGTTTATCCGGGGTCACATGGGGGTGGAGCCGGGATTCCAGAGCGAAACTTCTCCTGTCAGTGTCATAGCTTCTTGCTAGATAGCTACCTCTACTATCGCGAGTGGAATATTAGTTCCATTCTACATCTACTTCACATCTACATTCCTACAAATTAGCTCTCTTCAAAATGACCGCCCCCACACCCAAGTCGGCGCTCGCAACAATGCCGACGCCCAATATCCCTGCATCTGAAGCCGTCGGCCACTGCCAGAGCGTCGCAATAATCGATGCTCCACTGCAAGAAGTCTGGGATACTCTGATGGACACCTCTACCTTTCCCTCATGGAACAGGTTCGTCCCTGCCGTGACTATCCGAGAGCAGCCCGGATGCGAAGGGGGCGATCTCTCCTCCGTTCTCCAGGCCGGGACGAAGATGACTTATCACGTGAACATGAAGCCGACCAGCTCGTCCCAGCCACAGCGTGCACAGGCGAGCAATGATACTCCATTGGTCGTGACGGAGTATGATCCGCCCAGCGAGAGCAAGAAATCCGGTCGCATTGTTTGGATTCTTGATGCACAGGCGCAAGGTCGCATCATGTCCTCACTGTTGGCGGCGGAACGGGTCCATGAGTTCGAGGAGGTTGATATCCAGGATGAACAGGGACAGACGAGAAAGGGGACGGAAGTGCGTAACTGGGAAGCGCAGAATGGAGCCCTGGCGTATGTGGTTCGCTGGATGGTGGGGGCTCAGCTGGAAGTAAATTTTGAGGTGTGGTTGCAGGATCTCAAGGAGTATGTTGAGAAGCAGAGGAAGGCGCGGGAATAAGATGAGCTAGTCTAGGGTGTGCCCCTTTACTTTGTACATAGTAATAATACGAGTTTAAATGGATGGCTCCTTGCTGAGAGTGGTTAGGTAGGGATTGTTGCATGCTGGGTAAATTGGATGATATCCTTGGATACGTATCTAAACTCTCGACTCTCTGTTCTGTAGTGTTTTTTTTCGAACTCTCAAGGTCCCTGCTGGATGTGATCAAATACTACAGTACGGGATTCCGAGACAGCCTTACAGCCACAACTAGCGTCGGCCCCGTGCGCGCTTGGCACGGCGATGTGTGCTATTCCAGAGCCATCCACCGGTTCCGTGCCAGGTCATTGCGTCGGGAACCGTTCCTTTGATCCCGTATGGTGAAGTGAGATATCAGTTTGCCAGGCTTTGTCCCCGACTTGCAGTAGATGGTGGAGCTGTGAGAGGTGCCAGTGTCAGCATTTCGGAAAGGAGGGAATTTTAGGAGTCGCGGAAGAACAGAGGATGACTCCACGCTACTAGGATGGCCCTAGTAGAGTAGTAGTTATATGCGAGGCTTACGATGGCCAGTGGGAGGAGGGTCATGCACCTGATGTGACAGTAACTGAAACTACTACTATTTGAGAAAGACTGAGTTTGGTAGGAGGTCGGATGCAAAGTGGAGATTGGAAGAGCGTCTCAATGGCAGGCAATTTCCCTGGCAGACCGTGACCCACGTGGGGGTGGAGATTGGCTGAGGCCCCGTCCGAGGGTTACGTCCTCGGCTGTCTCTTGATTCTTGAACAGGCCTTTTTTGGGTTCGTCCTCGTCTTTCCCCCCTTTCAAGCAGCCACCGTCGAAGGTTCGAACTTTCGTTCATCCTTCCTGATCTGGAGTATGCGATGGGACCCTCGCCAGATTGAAACGGGGCCGCTATACTACCGTTTGATACATCCACGCAGAAAGAAGAGGGCTCCTGCAGGACTACCGCAGGGTGGATGAGCCATGGTCTGCATGTACCCATGTACGGAGTCCTACTTTCTTTTTCCCTCAGTCGGGATGTTACGATAAGATCGACTAGTCTCGGGCTGGCTGAGAGACCACGACCAGAATGTATCTACTGTATATTCCCTGCAGTGTCCAGCAGACGCCACGACGCGCGTGAAGTAGTGGAATTTGAAGACCTCGAGATGGTCATCCCTGCAGCATAGTGTGTCACACTTTTCACGGTCTTCGTCATCCTTTTTTTTAGGGTGTGGAGACACCACAAAACAAGGATGGGATTATGGTTGTTCATTCACCCTTTGCGACGGCCATCCAGGGCGAAAATGCGAGGGTGACAGCCGTTTGTGCCCGAATGACTGGGTGAGAAGGAGACTAAGTCAACTAACAAGTAGAAAACTGCACGAAATTCGAGGGTTGAGGGGCCAGCTAGACCCACCGGCTTGCCGTATTAGGACAACCGGACAACTAACGACGGGAGACTAGTGCCAAATCGGGGATAGTGTCCGTGCAAATGGAGGAGAAACGCGCGAGTCGCAATTCCATTCAGTCTCGCTTTTTCCTCTTTTCTTGCAGTCGCATTCATGGCTCTCTCTTACTTCTCCCGGTTGCCGCTGCGGCTTTCTTGCTCATCAAACCTTACCCCGGCTTGCTTTCCCCGTTTTACCTCCCAATTTCAACATGCTGCTTCGAAGTAGAGATAGAAAACGCACACCCGAAAAGGACCGATGCTGCTCCGAGCATGTCAGTGGGACTACGAAGATGGTCTCCCCGCCAGGCCAGACTCGCCCCGGTGGGTGGAACTGAACTATCTATTTGGCATGTCACGGTTACTTGCGACGGTTTGCTGTAATCACCCATGGTTCCTCGGGCACAATTAAGCTATCGCTCTTTCTGTCGATCTATCCAGTTACTCCCTCTCTTTTTGAAAATTAATTAATTTACATTTTCCAAATCCATCGGGTCGAGACTCGTCGCCTCCTCAAATTTTTCTTCTCCCTGCTTGGTGTTGATTTTCTACTTTCACTCTGATTCTATCCTTCTGTTCTGCTCTTCTAGATCATGTATATGTTGCAGTCCTCATCAGTCCGCTGTCTCTTGTCCTATTCATCTTCCTGCACCTTGACCCATCAATAGTCAGTCTTAAGCGCCAGGCGGACTCGAATCCCGGTGCCGACGTCATCCAACCGGCTTGCCACCAATTGCCTCGTCATTGGCTATATGCCCGCTGCTATTGCTTCTTTAAATCTTATTCAAGGTCCTCGGAAATCCAGCGACACCAGCAGACGTTCTAGTGATTTATCTCGTATTCGCGCCAGTCCAGTATAGATACGCGGTGTTTTCTTATCGCGCCTCTTGACCGGAGATCCCTGGTCCTATCGGCGCTGAAACCAAACCGTCGCACCGATTTCAACTGTCGCCTTCCCCGCTATCCCCGCCTCTTGCGATCTTCACAGAGGCATCTGCTTCTTCAGAGTTGTTCATCATGACTCCTACGCATTTGCCGTTCCCGCTCTCTGTTCGTACTCAACATGATACGGATACTCGCGCGCCGCCTCTACTAGTAGTGCCCGGACTGACTCCTCCGGTGACTCCTACTGTAGATGACGAGAGCCTCTCAGGCAGCGTTGCCACCCTCCATTCTGGGGCTTCCAGTCCATTCTTGTCGCCTGTCGAGGGAAAATTTAAAGATGTCGATGCGGAATATCGCACGGTGTCCACCTCTGACTCATTCACGGATGAGTTGGAATACCACAAGGACCCCAGAGGCCGGCCTGTCGAGTATGGCCGCGGTCTCTGGAGCGTTGTCTACAAAGCAACACCTTGCGAGCCCTCCAAGCCCTACCTGCTTACGCCTCCCAGCTCTCCAGCTGTCAAAGCCCGCACGGTAGCAGTCAAGTCACCCGCAAGGCGAGATGCGCACTCCATTTTGGATGCCGAAGCGCTCGCCTTGACTCGGGTCAGCCGTGTCGCTGGGTCACAGAACCATGTTGTTCCCTTCAAAGGATATATCGCAGACTCTCACTCCATCGTCATGTCAGCAGTGCCGTTGGCACTCTCGACCTATATCGAAGAAAAAGCCGCTGTGGCTTTGCAGAACAAGACCACCAAGACTATGTTCGAACCCATTCAGGGCATGACCCAGTGGTATGACCTCGCAAAGAAGCTCATCACCGGTCTGTGCTGGCTCCATGACGGGCCGCAGATGGTACACGGTGATATCAAGCCTCACAACATCTTGCTCCGTGCACGCTCAAACGACGACGATTTGGAATCCGACCACTTCCCTTATGAACCGCTGTTTGCCGATTTCTCCTCCGCTCACCCTATCAGCAATTCTTCCTCTCCCGAAAGCAGTCTGGGCACGGCTCTGACAGCTTTAACACCACCATTCACAGCCCCGGAGCTTCTATGTGTCTCATCATTAAAATCCCCAGACGTGGCGCCAACCCCAGAGTCTGATGTCTTCTCTCTAGCCGTTACTCTACTGGCTGCCGCTACAGGCGATTTGCTCCTCTACCCGGGTGCCAACCACTTCCAGCGTCTAGCCATGGCCCGTGAAGGCCACCGCGTGATTGAGTTTGCTCGCTCCGGGCCGAATGGATCTCGCATACCGCGCAACGGGATCGTCGAACAAATCATCAAACCGGCAATTGTCAAAGACCCGAGTCAGCGCATCAAACCTGCTGAATGGGTTAATCTGGTCGAGTCTATTACGATCTAACTTTGGCTATGGTTGCCTTTCTTTCGTTATCGCATCCCGCGTCCTTATCTCGGACTACTTTTAATCTCTCGTTATCTTCGGCCTTTTTTACTTGGCCATTTCTTCACCTAGCCTCTTTCTAATCTTTCTTTTACACATTTGTCAGACTTTGTCTGGTTTCTATCACCTTTATCTTCTTGGCACCACTTCTTTCTTTTCTTTTTCTTACTATGTTCAACTTCTACCAGAAACATTCAAGATACCCGTTAGAATAGATGTGCAGACGAAACAAATTACATTTTCCACATGACTCATTCTTCCCAGATATTTACCTATCAATAATAGCAACAGCCACTTGCATTTCAGTTCACTTGTGGAGCCATGTGGACCTACCCTTCCTTAATATGCTCTCTAGACCCCTGATTTAGGTCCAACTATGGCTTATCTAGATATCAATACCTTTTTGTACCGAATCAAGAAGGACCTATTATGACTTGCTAATCTTCAAAGAAACTTCCCACAAATGCTCCCATTCCTGTTATCGATTCTATCAATTTTGAGAAGAGTCTATCATCTATCATATAATACAGTACATGCTAGTTATACATATCTCATAACAAGTCCAATACGCCCATCTACCCATCCAAAGATGACATCCTAATGAAGTCTCTTCTTCACCATCTCACGATGCACTCCCGTCTTATACGACGTCAACGTCCCCCCGAACAACCGATTCAACTGCACACTCGACACCGAGACCCCGCTGCGCTGATACTCGATGCAAATATCCCAGATTGTTGACGTCGAGAGGATATGCACGCGCACATCACTCAGATCGTAGTCCAGGTTCTCCTGGAAACTGGTTACCGGGTCGGTGCTGCCCCCATGGATGGTTTTCGGGAGACTGTCAAAGTCTGGTTTTGGTGTCTTCGCGGCATATTCGGCTAGACTGGGGATCGATTTGACGATGTCGTTGGTGGAGCGGCCTGGGAAGATGAGTTGGAGGACTTCAGCGACGGAGAGGGCTTCGCGGCCGCGGCCGAGGGAGAGGGAGAGGGTTTCGAAGAGGCGGAAGGCGTCGCCGCGTTGGGAGGGGTCGAGGGAGTTGATTTTCTCAATGACGGGGGAATCGGGGTTCGGTTCGAAGTAGACTATGCTGCGGTCGATGCCTTGGGGGTAGAGCTCTTCCGGGCGGATGAGGAGGGGCTCGAAGGGGCGGCGGTCCCAAGCTAGGAGGGCGTCGTCGAAGTTGTTGTTGCTGCGGAGGGATGTGCGGTAGCTGTCGTGGATGTGGGGGAATTGTTTGAGGTGGTCGTGGTAGTTCTCTTGGCCTTCGTCGGTGATGGAGCTTCGCAGGGCGGATATTTTGTCGAGAATGGGTTTGAAGTCGGCGGAGGTTGTGTTGGGGTCGGCCGCTGCTCGGGATAGAGCGTCGTATTGGGCGTCGATTTCCCGCGACTGGTCGACCATTTGCTGGAGGAAGTATGCTTGTCGATTGTCTCGGTTGAGTCGGGTCTGCGCGCGACTGCGCTTCTTCTTGGCTTCGGCGTAGCCGGGGGTGGACTTGTCCATGTTGTCCAGGGCTTGGATGTCTTCGCAGAATCTGTCGTGAAGGGCAGTCCTTATGCGTGGTGTATAGGGCACCGGTTTCCGGCCGGGATCGGGGCTCTCCGGAGCTGGGAGGAGAGGCTGGAATTCCCTCCCCGGGGGTGTGGTGATGTTCTTTTCGGCGGCTCTTTTGGCGACACGCGCGGCGTTGTCTATGGCGACGTTGAATCCTTTGTGGTTAACCCAGAACTTCTCGTCTTGAGGAGCAGCGACTTCGAAGGTATGGAGCGCGACATTCTCCGTCCAAAGCGACACTCGTCGGCGATCAACTACGTAGCGGGGGATGATGGCCTGTGATTCTGGCGATGGTAGAGACGCAAGCAATCGGATAGCCCCGTAAGAGTGTAGTCCCGTCTGCTGCATGCAGGTCTCCATGAACATCTGCCACCATCTGCCTGCGGTGAAATGGTCTTTGTCGGAGGTCGTGGCGGGAAGGTTCGCGAGTACTAGAAGGGTGTCGTTCTTTGGCAGAACACCGGTATGATCGCCATTGTCGGGCCCTTGTTCCGGGAAATGCTCCGTGAGCACAGGCTTCCAGTCGCCGATTGAGAAGACGTCCATGGACAGTAGCTTGTAGGAGGGATGGCTTTGAGCCAGCGGGTCTAGCAGCGGTCGGAAGTTCTGCAGCTCGGGTTCAACGAGGACATGGCGTCGCGGCTGGAGAAGGCGGTTGATCTTGGATGACCAGAGGCCAGCTCCAGGCCACAGGTCGAGGATGTCCAACGGCCGATTGCGGAGGAGGTACGGTGACAGGCGCTGCAAAGCATGATCTGTGTAACGAAGGTGTTAGAAAATAGAGGGAAAATATATTAGCTGCACTCACCACATAGCTCCTCACTGACAATCTCCGGTTTCCTGTTGGTTCTCCGCTTGAGGTGGCCGGGGAAGCACTTGGCGATCGATTTCGCAAGCGGAAACCGTGCGAGGGCTGAGGCTCGTGGAGCCATTGTAAGGCACCAGGTCTGCGGACGAGACCAAGATGCAGAGCGATCAGCCTTTCTGGTATTCAAGGAAGAGGACCCTGGCGGACGGCGTCATGGTTGGGCGGCCGAACGAGAGGAATGGAGTGAAGGTGGAGCGGAAGCCGAGAGATGGAGAGGAACAAATACCAGCGCGACTCGCCGGCCGATCTTCTTTGCAGCTCCGCCGAACTTAAAAGAACCAACTTCTGCACTCTCCCCTGTACCTGACTAACTGTCGCCCACCCCGCTCGGTTGGTGGAATGCAAACACGATGCACCTTGATCTAAAGATTTAAAGCTATAAATTGCCTGCTCCACATTTCGTGTGCCTGAACACCACCCGATCATTCGGTGTCTTGACTCTGCTGCCTATCATCTACATGCGGCACGCCCCCACCACGACTGCCGCTGGTCTCGCGCCAGACGTCAATGAACTGCGACTGCTGCGACTGCTGCGACAGGCCTGCTGATTCTCTTCGATTTAATCTTCATCATCGACCGTGATATCGATTCATGCGCAGTCATGGCCGCCCATCTACCTCCAGCCACCGGTGCGGGGTCTCCGCAGAGCGTGGAATCGATCACTCGCATGGCTCAGGATTATGAGTATAACCCGTCTATACCTTTACGCTACTGGCTGCGAACTGCGTCTACACTCATGAGAGAGGTTGGTATACTCCTGCTTGGTTATGGTGGAGTGACCTGACGAGATTGGTGGCTAGGCTCGCATTTACGAACGCGAAAAGCACGAAGAACAGGCCTACCTTTTATTGTTTCGCCATGCTCAGCTAGTACTCGTCAATCTGGCCGAACACCCAGAGGCCAAGGATGAGAAAAACCGGAAAGCTTTGGTGGAAGCCGAAAAGGAGGTCAAACGGAACTTGAAGGTCCTGGAAGTCCTGAAACCCCGAATCAACAAACGCTACGAGCGCTATACTCAGTTGATGCGTGAACGGCAAGCTCGCGCACCAGCAGCCGCGAATAACACTCCCACTTCAATCCAACGCCCCCCTCAGGACCCCGCCCTTGCAGGAGTTGTGGAACCTCTAGAAGCAGGAGAGAACAAAGACCTGGCGGTGCAGCTGGCTCGGACGGAGCTTAGCCGACGAGCGACTGTCCGAAAGGCTATCCGACAAGCAGGCATAACACCTGAGGAGGAGCAGACTCGCCGTGCAGCTGGCGTGTGGGGAGACTGGGAACATGCCCTGCGCAAAGATGGATCCGAGGACGATGACTTGAGCCGGCGCATACAGAACGTGAGGATACAGATGGACGATCCGCGGGCGGATCACCGTCCACAGGTTGCTACTAAGCCCATGGCCCGACCATCTTCGGCAACCTCTTCGACCGGCGCATACAAGTATCCGAGCGTCCCTCGTCAGAAACCGCTGGAAGTTCCGTCAACCGCAAAGGTCGAGCCTAAGATTGTTCTTCCGCCTAAAGCACCCGCACTACCTCCTAAGAAAGCTTCGTATGTACATGAACTGGCTGGCCTCGAAGGACCTTCACCTCCACCTCGTCCAGACAAGATCTCGTCCGCAGGGATCCCAGCTGAGCCTCCTGCGCTTCCTGGAAAGGTTCCAGCAACCGATGGACCAGCTGCAAGCCCGGATTTGGAGCCGTCCAGTTATACCTTCAAGCCATCTGCTTATCTTGAGAACGGAACGCCTCTGCGGACATTGTTCCTGCCGCCTGATCTACGCAAGCACTTCATCTCACTGGTATCCCCGAATACGCAGCGCAATTTAGAGACATGCGGCATTCTGTGTGGCACATTAGTCTCCAACGCCTTGTTCGTGTCGAAGCTCCTCATCCCTGAACAGACTGCCACTTCGGACACATGCGAGACGGTGAACGAGTCAGCCATCTTCGACTACTGTGATTCGGAGGACCTGATGGTGCTCGGCTGGATCCATACGCACCCGACGCAGACGTGCTTTATGAGCTCGCGCGACCTGCATACGCATTGCGGATACCAGGTTATGCTACCGGAGAGCATCGCGATCGTGTGCGCGCCCAGCAAGACGCCAGACTGGGGAGTGTTCCGACTGACGGATCCGCCGGGGCTGAAGACGGTGCTCAACTGCACGCAGTCAGGACTTTTCCATCCCCACGGAGAGGCGAACATCTACACCGACGCACTGCGGCCGGGACATGTATTTGAAGCGAAGGGATTAGAATTTGAGACGGTGGATTTGCGTCCAAAAGGGTCTCAAATTTGACATTAGATCTTTGTTGCGAATCACTCTGAGCGTCGATAGCATATGATTACATGATAGGAGCTAATGAGGAACGATGCACTAGCCAATATTTAACTGTCTAGTCTGTCAGCTAGACTACAATGAAAATAGCTAACTAACCAACAAACTACCATGTGACGATCCCTGCAAGCCTCATCCTTTTATGATCCACTCATACTCCCGCTTCATCCACAACACACTACTACCATCATCATGTCAACTAGTAATTCCCTCTACACTGGCACCCACATCTCCATCGGCCCCCACAAGCTGTACCTGCATCTGCACGGCCCACCCCGCACCACCCAGCCTCTCACTATTGTCCTCGCCGGCGCCGGCGATGTTTCTTCCAGCTACACCGCTGTAATCCGCTTATTGAGCCCATTCGCCCCGTGTCTGGTCTACGACCGCACCGGTCTCGGGCGCAGCGATGCCCCAGACCAAGATACCAGCTACAATGCCAGCGCGACTCTCGCCGCATCAGAACTGCATACCCTACTTACCAACGCAGAGCTCTCACCACCGTATATCCTAGTGGGACACTCATACGGCGCTATAATCGCGAGGGAGTACCTCCACCTTTACTCAGATGATATCAGCGGGATGGTACTCGTTGAGGGATCAACAGAACATCAGTACACACTGTTCGAAGATAACCCCAACCTGGATTGTGATATTGCTGCCATACAGGGAGAGATAAACTTCGCTACGGTGACGGGGTTACGTGAGAATGCTAAGTTATCTCGGGAGGAGTGGAGAGAGCGAGCGAGGGATATTGCACGGGGAATGGGGATGTGGGAGGCTGAGAGGGAGAATCTGGTGGGGGTTTGTAGAGAGTTGGAGGGGAAGAGGCAGTTACAGGTGCAGGGAGGAGGGTTAGGGGAGAGGCCATTGTCTGTGGTGGTGGGACGGGGATGGGAGGATTATCAGAGGGTTTATGAGAGGGGAGTAGAGATGGGGAATGGGAGTGACGAGCAGAGAGAGGCGGTTAGAAGGTTCCTGGGGAGATGTGAGGAGGTGGTGGGGGAGTGGCAGAGGGAACAGTTGAGGTTGTCGAGGAGAGCGAGGTTGGTCGAGGTGGATTGTGGACATCAGGTGCATTTGGTGAGGCCGGATGTAGTGGTGAAGGAGGTGAGATGGGTGTTGGAGATGATTGAGAGAAGTAGTAGTATGCTGTAGTATAGTAGTGTTGCAGATGTTGTGGTAGTGGTGAGATATGCTATGTCTATTACAGAGGCCACCGAGAAATTCTCAGCAGAGTATAACTGCGAGACACAGAAGTGAGGCAGTTGTGAGTCTTCGAGACTGTATAAGTGTCAAGATGACCGCAAATTGATGCTATTCCCACTGCAGGCCTCCCCCCACCATTCCCAATCAGGAAACCCCGGGCTTGGCGCCATCGCAATTCCAGCGAAAGCGACTTGCTTTTACTGCTTTCTTCTTCTCTTCTTCTCTTCTGCAACTCTCCACTGCCTTTCTGCTACGGCTTCTTCTCTCTTCCTATCATCTTCTCACCCTCATCTTCTTCCGGTTCTCATTCGCTGCATCTCCCCTGCTGCGAGAACCCTTCAGATCCACCTCTCAGTTAATACGAGAGTTTACAATATCTTAACCTCATCCATCTCTCCTCTCCTCCATTTCCGGCACGGTGAATCCCACCGGCTCGTGCGACAGAGTGAGTCCACCATCATCTCAACGCATCCCTTTGATTCTCCATTCGGGCGCATCCACTTCACTTGTTTGTGGCTTGGTTCTTTTGCATTCCCTGCATCGCCGGTCAACTATATACTTGCCAGCGAATTTGCACGTGCACTGTCCCACACGTACAACTGTCCCGACTCCACCCCTGCTTGAGTTTGTTCCTGCGTACTGTCGCACATACTGTTACTCGCTATCGCAACACATGTCGCTTATGCCCACGATCGTATAAACATCATACTGATCGTCATAGGCGCTATAAGCTCTATATAATCGATATCTATCTCTTCACCTATACTCTCATCATATATCCATCATGTCTATGGACGCCAAAGAAATCGAGCTCCGGGCCAAGGCCATGACCAAGGCCGCCTCCTCCAACGAACCTCCCTCTACCATCATACCTCTGCTCAAGCAGCTGCAACAAGGGGTGAAAGCCACCGAGGACCTGCTGCGATCCACCCGTGTCGGTATCGCCGTTAACAAACTCAAACAACACAAATCTCCCGAAGTCGCCCGTCTCGCGAGCGAAATCGTCTCCAAGTGGCGCCACGAAGTGAACAAGCAAAAGGCCGGGGCTTCCCCCGGCGCCAGCCAACGGTCGAGCAGCTCTCCCCACCCGAAAGCCAACGGCACCCCCTCCGGCGGTGCGACTCCCTCCGATAAGGCCTCGAAGCTCTCAGTGCCTCCCGACAAGCGTACCTGGAAGGCCGATGGCGTGGACACCAACCAGACCGGCAACAGAATTCGCGACAGCTGCATCGGCTTGATGTACGACGGGCTTTGTCTCAACTCGGTCGAACCCCCACGCACAGTTCTGTCCAAGGCGTCGGCCGTGGAAGCGGCAGCCTTTAGCGACCTCGGACCGGAAACGAAGGAACAATACCGCACGAAGATCCGCAGTCTCTACCAGAACCTGAAGAACAAATCGAACCCGTCACTGCGCGTGCGGGTCCTCAACGGCGATGTGACGCCGGAACGGTTCGTCCGGATGTCGCACGACGAGCTCCGGTCGGAGGAACAGCAGGAGCGCGACCGCAGAATTCAAAAGGAAAACATGGACAAGGCGATGGTGGCACAGGCGGAGCGGAGTATCAGTACAAGCTTGCAATGCGGCAAGTGTGGACAGCGCAAGGTGACATATACAGAAGCGCAGACGCGCAGTGCAGATGAACCGATGACATTGTTTTGTACGTGTATGAACTGCGGCAAGTCATGGAAGCAGTGACCAGTCTGTCAATTGATTTGATTATACTCATTCATGTTTTTACTCATCCATTCAATTTGTATTTCCCGATGGTGTTGGGTGTGATAGGCGAGGAGTTGGTTGTCAGGTTCAATCCAGTTTATGTCATGTGTCATAGATCATACGTCATTCAATACTTTTTATACCACCACCATCCCCAACCTACAAAGTAAACAACTACCACCTATTCCCCTCTCAACACCACCATCCTCCCATCATCTATGATATTGCCACAAAATGCCCCCCAAACAAACCCTCAAACAAACCACCCATACCTTCCTAGATACTCTAACTCAATCCCCCCCACCCCCCCTCACCACCATCCTCTCCCAATTCACCTCCTCCCCCAGCACCACCCCATTAATCCACGAAGCCGGCCTACCCCAACTGGCCCCCTTCCTAGGCCGCGACTTCACCGGCCAAGACGGAGTGAAAACGTACTTCGAGACAATGGGCGCGGCGCTACGCTACGAGGGGATGCGATTCGAGGATGAGCAGGATTGGGTGGTTGACGAGGAGAAAGGGTGTGTTTGCGTGCGCGGGTGGGCGAGATTCATTGCCAAGAATACAGAAATGGGCTGGGATGAGGGGTTCGTGTATAGGTTGAGGATTGTGCAGGATGGTGGTGATGGTGGTGACGGGGAGTGTAAGGTGCAAGAGTATAGAGTGTGGGCTGATACGGGGGCGGCGTATTTGGCTCTTACGGGGAGATTAAATGGTCTTATGAAGGGGGAGTGATATGTACATACATACATACATAGGGATTGATTACAAGGGATTGTGAATTCAAGAGGATACAACATCCCAATCAATCCACGCCACATTCCCCTCCCTCCCATCCTCAAACAAAAACACCCTCTTGGGATCCCTATACCTCTCCTCCTCACTACTACTCAACAACACACTCACCTCACTCTCCTCCCTGCCCGTGAGATTAAACCCCGGGCCATAGGCCCTATACTCCGCCATCAACGTCTCGTTCTTACTCCACCGATCCTCCCAGTTAATGTACCCCGATGGCTCGATGCTCCCGTCCTCGTACGTGTTCGCGAAGATGGATCGGTGCAGCGAGTTCCACGGCCTGCCTAGCGCGCAGGACCCCTGGATTTGCTCTGCGATGGAGGAGTTCGCGGCGTTGATGGTCGAGTCGTGGATGTAGACTCCGTAGTTGTTGCGCACGGTCGTGTTGGTGCCCTTCCAGGCGGTGATGCCGCCGCCGCAGGAGCGGAGGATGATTTGGGAGGATTGGATGAAGAGAGTGCCGAAGCCGTAGAGGAAGTCGGTTTGGCCCGCTAGGATGGATTTGTACATGTATGCCGAGCCGAGTTTGCCGATGTAGATCTGGATTTTCTTTGTTAGTATTTGAGGATGGGAGGGGAGGGGAAGGGGGGAGGGAGGGGGGATGTACCGTGTCTTGGTAAGAGTAGAAGCCGCAGTAGTAGAAGCCGCCGTTGGAGCGACTGAAGCTGATAGCGTGCGCCGGACCAGCAGAGTATGGCGCATAGGTGTTGCGAAAGTCGATGTTGTATACGCGGAAGTTGGTATTCCCGAACGGGGTGTCCGCGGGCACTGGGTATCCTGTTGTGCCGGAGCCGGTGAGACTGGCGTCTAGGGTCGGGGCAACGACCATGACGCTGAACCAGACGTTGTCGATGTTGCCGCTGCTGTCGCTGTTGGCGCCGGCGAAGGTGAGGTTGACGGTGTTGCGGGCTGGGTCGGTTAGGGCTGCGCGGTCTGGTTGCTGGCCGAGGAGGGTGATGGGGCCGGAGCGGGTGATGTTGACTTGTTCATTGTAGGAACCGGAGAGGAGGAGGATGGTTTGGGAGGAGTTGTCGTTGGGGAGGGCGTTGATGGCTGCTTGGAGGGTGGTGAAGTTGGAGATGTCAGGGTGGGCATTGGTGTTGGAGACGATGATGGTGCCGGGGGGACATTGGAGGGTTGTTTGGCATTTCTCGCGAGCGGCGGTTGAGAGATGGTTTGAGGATGACGGGGAAGTTATGGCTGCTGAGGAGGCTAGGATGGCCTGGAGGGCCAGCACGAGGCCGTGGAGGAGCATTGTGTGGGATGTAGAAGCAATTGGCTTGCTGGTGTTTGGATTGAACCCTGTTCATTTTTCTGGCCGTTTTATATGATCATCATGGCAATCTGGGGATGCGGGGATAGTCAAGCTTCTGCACGGTGCCAATTACCCCAGACTGGCATTCTAGGATGGCATCACCGTATGATGCATGGTTTGTTTCCCCAGACGGAGGCCGGAGAAATGTGGTGGCGCCGGAGAATTGCGTTCCACCTGTCGGGTTGAAGGATAGGGTTCAGTTGGACTGCAGTTGGTGGAGTGAACTTGTTCTGGGGTTAGATGCATTATTGGGATGATGTTGTCTCCATGCTGATCGGGGGTATCTTCCAGAGTCAGTTAGTGAGTTGTTTGACGTGGTGGTGCTCCGCGGACAGCCATGGTGATCCGATATCTCATAGATGCGCTATGAGGCCGCACATCTGGTCCAGGGATGTTTAATCCCTCATTCATGCAGTGTGCTTGTCCGATGGTGCGGGGAGAAGTATTCTGCGTGAGCTATCACGGCTAAGCTTTTTGGAGCTGGTCAGGCTTGTCTGTCATGGAGCTTAGTAGTGGACTTGAGCCGATGTAATGCCGACGACTTTTCTTCCGAGAGAAATGCTTCGTCTGCAAGTATGCTTTAGCATGAATGTAGCAAGTCGTATGCATGTTAAGCACGTAAGATAGCTAATCCTTCACTAGAGCTTGCCATCATAGCATAGTCATTGAAAGTAGAGAAGACGAGGAATGTCTGAACAGGACAGAACTGCTCGTCTATAGTCGACTCGGAGCATGCTGACATGCTAGAAGTGCCAGCACCTCGTCAGCCAATACACAGTCAGTTTTCAGCCTTGTATCTGCATATTCCGACCATGTCTGTCTGGGATAGAAGTCATCAGTTAGTCGATGGTCACCCATATAGGCCACGGTGAACTCGTGTGGCCGCTTGCTCTCAGAACAGGTATCACTGTTCAGTGACAGCTGCCATTATTGTTCCTAAAAGCCAAGCACAAGTTTATCAGGGCTTCGATTCAGTTCATGCTAGCGAGGTACTTGCCCCATCGCGACGTGTAAGCGTTGCTGGCACCAATCGCAAGACTTGTTCTGTGTAGACAATTTTCTAACTATGAGTGTACGGGAAGCAGTAGATAGTTCCCAGCTTTGACGAGGGAAACTTATGGAGGTCAATAGAGTCAATGTTACTCGGGATACCCAATCTGCAGAAGCAACAGCTACTCACCAGCCCAAATTGACAGAGTCATGTGTCCTCTAATCATGATTATCAACCTGAAACGCATTGGTTCAGGCGCATGATAAGACTTAGGCTCGTGGGAGGCGGATACAGAGGTTTGCTGGAAAAAGCCCTTTCCCAAATTTGTTGGAAATACTCATGTATCGACTGAAGTGAAAGAAGTCATCCTCACACTGTGCAATTGACATTCATTGCTGCTGAGATCGCCTAGCCTGAGGCACCCAAGTAAAAGCTGAATCACGACCCCCAACAGACATCACCAACTGGACAACCCCAACCTTAGCAATTAAAGCAGCAATGCACGCCCACCCGCACAAGCACAATGCGCATCCCCAACTACATACCTACTCCGGTTGACCC